AACTGGCCAAAGAGGGGACAGAACTCCGACCTGAGCACGACATGCCGACGTTCGCTGCGATGCGACGCCTGGCAAAAGAAGCGACCATCGCCACATGGAAATGCCTCTGGCAGGCAAAACTCAACAGAGAAGACGGCCGGTTCCGCATAGCCAACCGCTTCCCCCCCACCCTCAAACCCCGACCCCATTTCATTGAAAACGACCGCGACATCTACGGACGGATGCTGCAGATTCGCACTGGCCACTGTTTCGCCGGCGAATACTACGCGTCCTTCGTCCCTTCGGAACCGCGCTCATGCCCATGCGGAGCACCATACCAGACCCGATCGCACATTCTCGAACACTGTCCAATAAACGATCACGCACGGCACCTCCTGCACGAACCGGGCAAGGACATCGCCCTTACAGACGTTCTGGGCACCAAGAAGGGACTCAAAGGCCTCGCCAAATTCCTAAAGAAAACCAAAGCCTTCCGGAAGGCCACCAGCACTACCGAGGAGGATGATGAGGACCCTTTTGCCACACCTTAGACGCTCTCCGTATCCAGAGGAGCACTCGCAGATTTAGATTTCTCCTTTTCCCCCTCTCCTTTTCTCTATGTTACATACGTCTCGGATCCTTACTAGTACATATGTCCCCCCTCGCATCGTAATACGCCAGACGCAGATGGCCAAACCGCCGATATCATAATATACCCCACAACTACAAGAGTACCTACATAGCATACTACTTCTCTACATCGATACAACTTCATACTAGCACCCGACTACCTTACACCTTCACCTAGCCGCTACTTAATGTGACCACGCGTTTGACGCGGGGTATAAATATAGAAATCTCTCTCTCTCTAAGGCGATCATTCAATGCTGAAGCTGAAGACTGGGCGATCTTCCACAGATACTCCAGTCGCCTCGTTGAACTTAACTTAACCTTCTCGGACTATCACAAGATTGAACCAGGCGTTACGTTTACCGTTCACTTGTCCACCCAGCCGCCTTGAACATTTTCCCCAAGCTGAAATCCGTAACCTGGGATGGTGTACTGGAGCTGGTAGATTCCGCCAAGATGTCGTTCTTGAGGAATCTTCTTGGGCCGTCTTTTATCCGCCTATCGTTTCACCGCGTAGTAAGTATGCACACACAATCACCTGGCTTGCTTTCTGTCCTAGGCACGTTGTATCCTTACGTCAACTACTTCAGTTGGGTTAATGACGATCGCTTGGAATATTCTGTTACTGCAGTATCTCAAGCCATATGTTCTTGGAACAGCCTCAGATTTGTGACTTGCAACCTGCTGAACGACGCCGCATTGCGTCATCTTGCGTATTTGAAACCACTGCAACACTTGCGAATAGAGCTGCCTCATCTTCATTCTGATTCCACCCTCAGAGAACACCTCGAACCTCCGACGTCTACCAATATCCATTATCTACAGCTCTCGGCGTCGCCTGGGGACACTCTGTCTACTGTAGCCGAGAAGATACGAAACCTTCGCCATAGCAAGCTCTCTTTGAATAGGTTTAGCGCAAAATCCGAAGGCGCCTCGGCGGATTCTATGCCAGAACTTTTTGGAGCATTGTCCTCTCACCTTGATAACGTGTCTTTGACGACACTTTATGTTAAGGAATAAGGATATCCGCGGGCTAGATTCCTAATCAACCAAAGTACGATGTCACTTATCCTACCTTTTCAACACCTACACTTCGTTACCATCAGCACCCAGAGGAGAGTCGAGTTAGACGACGACGCACTTATGCAGATGGCGGAAGCGTGGCCAAACCTCAGCTACCTCTCCATCAATTACACGAAGGGGTGGGAAGGTCTACCAAAGACAAGTCTACAGGTCGTCCGCGCTGTGTTAAACAAGCTCACGCAACTCCACACTCTACGCATCGCAGTAAACGTCAGAAGCATAAGCGCCGAAGATCTCGTTGGCGAGAGTGGTGGGCGATCGAGCATCGATAAGCCCTTTAATTCGAGCCTCCTCGACTCGGCAATCGGCGAGAACATCCATGAGATTGCAGCATTCCTCGCGAACGAGTTCCCGCGTATGGGGTATCCTGGATCCACTGATTACAGCTGGGTAGTTTGATCACGGCCTGAGCTTTGACGAAATCGAATTTCAGCAGCTGAGTGTCAACAGGACCTGGTGGGACGTTATCGCTCGCACCATCCGCTACATAAATCGGGTCAGACAATCTCTTGGGCTGGCTACACTGTGAGGTGGAAACGAAAAGTGGTAAGAAGGGCCTGAAACATGCACTTGCAATGACTAGTTCAAAGTCAGCGTGCATGATAACTCGATGTATCAGCACTTACTGTAGTCTTAGCTATCAAATTCGAGTGTGTCAGATTCGTCAGAGCACGGCGTTAACGTCACTACGTTCAAAAGTCCACTTTAATATTATCGAGTAAAGTTTCTACAGCTGTTTAGATATCGGACAGAAGGTCTACATATCGCTAAGCCTGATAGCGAGAATTTCTGCCTTCTCATACGACAAGTTACTGAGATTGGCCAATCTACGTACGACTTCCGCCTTATTTTTGTTTCCACCATTACAGCACGTTTCCGTCACCTCCTTGAACAACTCCGCCTTGTCTATATGATACGGTTCAGGCATGGCGTAGTCGTTGATGAGCCCTTCAACCTTGGCTTTTGATGCCTCAAACTCATCTTGGAATACGCACCGGCCCCCTCTCCGCTTGCCAGGCGTAGCGGTGATGGCAGCAACACCATGCGGACGTACTCCATGTTTATGAAAAGTCGCCTTGTTCTCCGGCCACCAGTCGTCCATGTTATCCTCCTGCTCGAGGCCCGTAACGATGAGGGAGGCGTTGACACGCTGCTGACAAAGCATGTCGTGGAACAATGTCCAATTCTTGCAGGACGCGTCCTTCATACGAGGACCTCGCATAACGAAGATGATTAAGCTGATCCCATCCTCGAGACCGGTTAGCAGCTGGTAGAGCTGGACGATAGCGTCGTCGTTGGGTATTGTGCCACCGTCGCCCTCGTTAAGGCCTACAGTGTCGTAGACATAGTGGGCTTTGCCACCGATGGAGATACGATAACAACTCCATCTGGGCGTGCACCCATTAGCCGTGTTCGAGGTTTTAGCCACTGTTTTTCCGGAGAGCATGTTAACGATGGAGCTTTTGCCTGCTCCGGTTTCTCCGAAGAGTATGATGTTCATGGGTTTTTGAGCCATTGTTCTGAGGTGAAGTCAGTGAAGAGTGTTCTCGAAAGTGAGCCTTTGGAGGTACCTTTGACGTTGCACGGACGGAAGTGGCTCGGTCGACGTTTGAGATAGTACGCAAGAGAGTTCTCGAGTGACGATAAAAATAAAGAGGGAAATGACCCTCTAAGTAGCGCGTCTGGGAAAAGAAAATAGTAAGCGCTTAACTTGGAGCAGGATCGAGTAGATAGAGCCCATTTCAGAAGGTTCCCTACCACTCTCACTACATTACAATCTTAGTAACGGAAGCCCGAGTCGACGATTCGGGCCCGCAGTCTAAGGAACCGAGCGTCAAGCAGAAGCCACGATTCGCAAACGTCGAGGAAGTGTATCAAGAAGGCCAAGAAACGAGGCAGATTTCTCGGTTCCAGGAAAGCCCTGGGCCAGAAGCTTGCCATCAAAAACTTCCATCGGGGTGGGCCTTTGAAAGCAAGCGCCAAGGTTTTGTGATGGAGTCCCTGGCTTTTGACACTGGCTGCGTATATATCAGGTGGAAGTTTGGGTAAGGACGGGAGAGTCGGCAGCGAAGAATATTCTGTGTATCTTCACGTTTAGTCTCGAACAGTGCCGGTGAAGTCTTAAGTCGAGAACTTGATGGCGTCGTGAATTGGAAGACATCAGAAGCTCGTCGGTGGCGTGTTATCAAACCGGAATCATCCGAGATCCCACAAGCGGAGTCAATGGCGGACATTCATTCATCTTCTGTCGCATCTACACGTCTCTGAGACAATTCTAGGTATAAACCTTACCTGGTCTTATCCGTTTCTCTCATCCTTCCCATAGTTCTGATGATCCACATTAGAAGCTCGTCTGTACCGCCGTTAAAAAGACAATGGAGCTACTCGTTGGACTCCAGAGACGCACGCCAGGGACGCACTTCTGGTAAACTTGGTCCTACAACTGGAGAAAGTAGAAGACCACTGGCAACACGGGGCGGTTAAGTTCAGTTCAAAGGGATCAGCGCCAAAGGCACAAACATATCATCCTACAATCTGAAGCCTTGGTCGCCACTCAACCACCGGCTCTCCAACTTTTCCTTGGCAACCACCATGCATCCTGCCCTCGACGTCGCAGACATCCTAGTACTCATCTGCGAGCAACTTGGATCGGGTTCTTCCCGCGAAAAGTCGCTTGCTTCACTCGCACGTACATGCACTACTTTCAGAGGGCCGGCTTTGGACGAGCTATGGTCCGAAGGTGTCAGCATTGCTACCCTCCTTAGCGTTCTTCCCCGCAAACCAATGGTGTATTTCCACTTCGAGCGTCGCAGAGCTCCGACAGAGGATGGGTCTCCGCCTGTCTACATAGAAGTATGTACCGCTCTCCTTTGTCTACAACTTGCGCCATTAAACAGCCGGCTTTCCAGCGTCGATGGGTGAGGCTCGAAGGTCTGACCGACGTACATCGAGCCAACCTAAAGCAATACAGTCGCCGTATACGCTCTCTAAACATCGGAAATAAACTCGACTCGGACGATGTCTATACGCTGGAGCATTGGCTTCTTTCTCCTGAACCAGAAGCGTCAGCGATGTTCCCGAAGCTCAGAGAGTTGATAGTCGACTACGCTGACGGAGGTCGCCTGGGGGCTGATAGGTTACGCCCATACTATCCTCTTCTCGTACAACACCTCGAGTCTATCACAGTGACACACAAGTCGAGGAAGGATGAGAGAGACGCTGCCTCTCTACTTGATTTCTTGTCACTCATCCCTTCCCACTGTGCTCGCTTACAAAGTTTCGTCTTCTCTCACATTTCAGAGAGAGCTTTCTGGGACCAAGGCGACATTGATCCTGACGAAGCAGAATTTGCTCAACCGGCTGAACATATGGCGTCACAGATATCCGAGCTCGTGCGGGCTCTTCCGTGCCTCCGGAAGCTGGTTATACCCGCCCTTAACGAACACGCCTTCCGTCACGTTTTACACCTGTCGACTTTACATCACCTTTCCTTGATTATCCAGCCCGGGCAGCTACCCTCATCTCATCGCCGTGATTTAGCTTTGGTGTCCTGCAACCTCAAAACACTTCATCTCAAGGTGCCGCGTGGGGCTAGTGTCATCCCAGCTCTCCTGAACCTGCCACTCATCCCTTCTTCGCTATGCATCCGTTTTTACGATGTGCCCTCCGCTTCTGACATGGAGCGGATTGTCAACGTCATCACCGGAAAGGCGACTGCAGTACTCACGCACCTCAGAATATCATCTCCGGTGTCGCAGAGACGTTTTCCCGTACCCTCAATCTCTCTGAGCTGGGACATCTTGAGCCCGCTGTTGCGTCTCAACAGCATACACGCTCTCTACTGGGACCTTCCTACCAACATTTCCATCAACGACGCAGATCTTATTCAGCTCGCGCACGCGCTCCCTCTCCTCGAAGAGCTAAGTCTCACGCCCGAGCGGTGGTGGACTACCTCGAGCATCACGCTCGACGGTCTGTTCGCATTCGTGAGAATGTGTCCTCGCCTATCGCACCTTGGCGTATCCGTGCCGCTTGATTTGGCCGCTCTCGCGAAGTATCTTGCATCCACGTTCTCTCAAAGCGGCGAATCCATCTCTTCCCATCCCTTGAAGACGCTCGTCCTCAACGGGTTACATTTGGGTGAGGGTGGCTTCGGGCCGCTCGCGGTGATCCTCGCTGCAGTGTTCCCGACTCTCGAGGACATCCATGTGTCCACTGTACAGACTGTCTGTAGATGGGACTGGGATAGACTGTCAGAGGTGGTCGCGGTTGGGTTGAGAAGGGCCCAGGAGGCGCGGAAGAGGGGAGAGGCCTTGCCGGTGGAGGAACAGAATGCTTTGCTTTGGGAGAGTTGGCTGAATGCAGATGTGTCGGCCGAGTGACAGGATATCGAAGACGCCAACAAAGGTTAAATTAATTTCAGGGCACGCCAGGGTTGTTCGGTTTGACGAATGGGTTGTACCATCGCGATGCTGTAGTTTGGTGAGCCAAATTAGACTATCTGCGAATTTGTATTCGAACGACATCACTGTTTGAAAGTTTCTTTCTGGGACGATTGTTGCGTACTTGTGAAGGCGCTCCACGACGGTACTTGGGAACGTCAGCTCTCGCTCCCTTCCCTTTGAAAACTCATCACTACAGCTTGCTTTTGTTTTCATTGACTCACTATGGCTATACCTCCTTGTGCGATACGTCGCCGACTGACCAATATCTTAGTATTCTCCCTTGCCAACATTGTCAACACCGCGGCTAGTCAGGTACCAAGGACCTAATACTATCCTTTCTTCAGACACACTGTGGAACCCTTCTCACAACCACTGTCACAGCCATACTTCGACCAGTATCCCGATGGACACGTACGGTACTTAGGAGTGGCGCTACACATTATTGATCCAACCAACTTGTTTTCTATCAACTGACAGGTCACGATGCACAGTGTGATATCAGCGCGTATCTTTTTTCGCCTGAAAGAGGTGAACGGAGTTGAACGGGGTCAAGCCCGCTTACGCGCATTGCCAACGCTCGGCAGTGAAACCGATGCGCCGGACACACATGACTTCGTGCCAATGCACCCTACAACTTCCTACAACACTAAGTGGTGACGTGGGTGTATTACATTTTGGAAGATGAAGCGTAGCCAAAACGGCGTGATGAGGGAGCGAAGCAGCATGACCACATCGTGGCTTATGTTAGAACCAATGTACGGGATGGCTCGATCAGATCATGAGAATGGAACTGTCAAAGCCAAGGGCGCTGATCTCGAACTCAAGAAGCAGCACGAGATAATGCCAAAGCAATATTAACACCAAACGTATAAACAACTGACACCAAAGAAAGTACACAACCAGTGCGAAGTTTCCATATTTACAATAACTTATATCCATCCCAATCACTTCTCCCACCGCATCCTGGGACCCAGCACACTGCCGGCGCTCAGTCCAAATCCACTCCCGATCCGCCAGGCGACCCGTTTACTTGGGGATGTTGGAGGTAGTGCCGGGGCAGAGCGTGAGCGTAATGTCAGTGTTGCCGCACGTGAAGTCGACGTTGTCGGCGGGGGTGTAGCCGGCGGCACCGTCGTTGTCGGGGAACGCGTACGCGTTGTAGCAGCTGTTGTAGTAGAACGGCGAGTTCGGGCCGGGACCGGCGTTGCTCGTGCAGCCTCCGCCGCCCGCGGGGAGCGCGCCGCCCGAGCAGGCGGAGACGGACGAGCAGCAGGGGGAGTAGCACGAGCCGTCAGGGCCGGGGACGGGCTGTGATATGAGAATGGGAGTGGTTAGGGCTGGGATGTAAAGTAAAAGTAAAGGGCGGGACTTACGCAGCCTGAGGGGAGAGTGCAGGCGAAGGCGGAGCAGCCAGAGTCAGAGGAGGAGATCTCCATACCGACGTTGTAGCCGTAGATCAGGGAGATGTCGTAGGTGACCGAGCCGGGGACGGCGTACTACAGAACCCCACAGTCAGATTCAAAAACTTTTGAAGTATACAAAGGCGGAAGAAAACGCACGAAGTTGAACTCAGCACGCGAGAACGGCGTGGTGCCGTCCCATGTCGGGCCACCGGTCGAGCTAGTGCCGACGTTGATGGCACCGTCCCAGTTGTTGGAGATGTTCATGTCGGTGGTGGCGCCAGCAGCGACGTTGACGTTGTTGTCGATCGTACCGAACGAGGTCTGGGTGAAGAGCGTGACGCTGTCAGAGCACTTGTTCACGACGTTGAGCGACTGCGCGTTGGCAACGGCAGCGGCAGCAGCGACAGCGAAAGCAGCGTATTTGGCCATTGGTGATATGAGTGAAGAAGCGGTGGTTGAGAGATGGATGTGAGACCGGTTGATGAGACGTTGAGGCTCTGGAGAGCTGCTATTTATACGTTTTCCGGATGAGTGCTCGACGCGCGCATGAGAGCGAGGTCAAAGTCCCCTACGCCGGCCAGTGACGCCTGTGTGTACCCGCAGACGTGCCCGAGTTCCATGGTCCGTAGCAATCAGCGCTTGCCAGCGTGACAAAACCTGTATGAATCTGACACGATTCGGAATGAGCGTGGGCGAGCATATGGATGCGCGCGGGGCTGCCGAGGTGGTTTGACCAAGTTTGAGCGCTGGCGGCGTGAAGGGTTGATGGGGAAGGGGCACGAGGAGACGCTGGAACAAGCAGTTTTGCGCAGAACCCGACTCGAGGGTGGAGCAAATCCAGGAACAGTGTCGGGGAGAGGGTGCGGGATCGACAACCAGGAACGGGCGTTAGACGGCAAGACGTCATGAAAAGCTGTCGAGCTGTCAGCCTGTTAGTCACTTTCTGCCAGCTGGCGTAAAGAGCCTGGGGGACGAGGAGGCCGAAGTTCTTCGAAGTCGCTCCTGAGATGTTACTTTCCTACGCAAATCTGCTCAGTCCTTGTGCATTCTCAATGTTAGCCTTGCATGCGCTGTTCTATGTGAGTGAGTTGATGGCGACTCCGTACCAGCAACACACGTCGCCGGAAAAAATTGTGGCGGAGGTGCGAGATCATTCTGCGAGTTATTTTTAGCACAGACTGCCACTTCGACCCGCTCGCCTACCGACGCCTGCCCGCAGTGAATGGTCTTCGGTCGTAGTAGTTACCTCTTCGATCAGCTCGACCACTTGAAGGTGGAGCCCAAAATGACTTCTCGTGGAAACTCATCAAAGTCACATTGAAGCCACCCTGAAATCTGAGCTCAAGTGACTTGTAGAGGAGCGCACATAGATAGACGTAGAGGCTGCTGCGCGGCATCATGACGCTCTGCACGATTCTTGGTGCGTTGGTCATGGTCCAAAGTCAACCAGCCGCTTCTATGCTTGTAAAAATAGATGAGGTGACGGAACAATGCTGCGACAAGATTCAACTTGCCTATAACTAGTTTGCGCTGGTGACGATGTTTAGGTGATGCTGCCATTCCCCAGCCGCTCCAGCGAATGAAGATGGTGTTATTTAGGCTGGCGGGAAAAATGTGAGTCAATCATTGCAGGTTGAAGAGAAGCACCTCTGTTCGTTATTCACGAACATGACAAGGCGAGTGAACAAAGCGATGCCGGGTGAAGAGGAGGCCAGCTTACGCTTTCGGGAAAGTAGAGTCCCGTGGGAAGATGCTGCTGACTCATACTTTCCCATCACCCAAAGTCACCCGATGACTCGAAACACCTTTTCCTCGTCGTTCTACACATTGACGCGCCCCCGGCGCGCATTTCAACTTTCCAAACGTCGTTGGTGGTGACGAAGTAATCAGGTGCTAGGCGGGTAATCACACCACAAAAAACGCGCCGAGAGTGCGGCGGAAATCTCGTGAACCCCCTTCCCTCTTCCCAAACGAACTCGAGTTAGCATGTCAGCATCAAACGCACCTGTCATCGACCAGGAAACTTATGTTGTCCCATCATTCACGTTCGAGAACGGGAGAACTCTACGAGAAGTGCCCGTCGCGTACAAGACCTGGGGAAAACTCAACGAGGCGAGGGACAATGTCATGATCATCTGCCATGCCTTCACCGGTAGCGCTGATGTCGAGGACTGGTGAGCACAACGTCCGTACGCACAGCCGTTACTGTATCTCACAACAGACTTCAGGTGGGGTCCTCTAATGGGACCAGGCAAGGCTTTCGACCCACAACGGTTCTTCATCTTTTGCGCCAATGTCCTCGGCTCGCCATACGGTACAGCGTCACCCGTGACCATCAACCCAGACACCGGAAAACCATACGGCCCCGAGTTCCCTCAAACCTCCATACGCGACGACGTCCGGTGAGTATCCACCATCCACTTTACCTATCACCCATCCACCAACCCAAAATCAGCCTCCAAAAACACGTCCTCGACCACCTCCGCGTCTCCTCCGTCGCCGTCGCCGTCGGCGGCTCCATGGGCGGCATGGCCGTGCTCGAGTGGCCTTTATGCACGCCCACAGGCTTCGTGCGACACATCATCCCCCTCGCGACGTCCGCGCGCCACTCGGCGTGGTGCATCTCCTGGGGCGAGGCCCAGCGGCAGAGCATCTATTCCGACCCGGGCTACGACGACGGATACTACGCCGAGCAGCCCGCGACCGGGCTCGCGGCAGCGCGCATGGCTGCGCTGCTCACGTACCGCTCGCGAGACTCGTTCGAGCGGAGGTTTGGGAGGCGCCCGCAGCAGCCCTCGACTGCTCCCGCGCCCGCGCCGGATGAGGGGGCGGTGACACCGTCGTTGCAGCTGTCGGACGCGGACGCGGCGCTCGCGGCGCACAACGAGGGGCACAAGAACGCGGGACGCGCCGGCTCGCGCTCGCACGCGAGCTCGCCACGGGCATCGACGACCAACGTCAGCATCCCTCCCGCGCCAGGGGGGACAGGCACCCTCTCCCCACCGCGCTCCCCGCCGACGCCATTCAGCGCACAGGGCTACCTCCGCTACCAGGGCGCCAAGTTCATCGCGCGCTTCGACGCCAACTGCTACATCCACATCACGCGCAAGATGGACACGCACGACGTCGCGCGCGGGCGCCATCCTCCTCCCTTAGCCAACGGTGACCCATCCACGACTTCGGACGCCGCAGACCCGCAGTCAGCGGCCCTCGCCGCTGTGCTCGCCACCCTCCCCGCGCGCGCGCTGATCATCGGGATCGAAACGGACGGCCTCTTCACGCCGAGCGAGCAGCGCGAGCTCGCGACGCACATCCCCGGCGCGGAGCTCGTCATGATCCCCTCGCCCGACGGGCACGATGGCTTCCTGCTCGAGTTTGAGCAGATCAACAGGCACGTCATGCGTTTCCTGAAGCGCGAGTTTCCGGCGTACTACGAGAAGCCTGTGGAACCCGAAAGCGAGGGCGAGGGCAAGGGCGGGGGTGAGGGTGGGCTGAAGGTGGGGGACTTTTCAGTCAAGAAGACGAGCATGTTCGGTGAGGCGGAGGCGGATATCACGCGGTGGTAGGACGCGGTTGTTTTCAATCCTAGTCTCGGTTTTTTGCATACCTCCTTTTGCCTTGCTTCTTCCTATCCATCTTTCATCAGTTTCTGCGCCCCCTCGTCCAACCGACCGCGCATCCTCACGACATATCAATCCAACCTGATAGATAATAGATATCCATAGCATCACCGTCATTCCATCCTTCTAAAAACACGCCGCACGTCCAACCGCGCGCGCACTATTATACTACACACCGCTTAGACCCCATGTCATCCAACTGATATGTAGAACACGAACGGGATCCGATTATGTAGACATGTAGCCATTAGACAGAAATAGTACAGAAATGACAAAGGGACAGAAAAGAGAAAGAAAGTTGCGGGATAGTGTAACATGACTGCATACGCGCATACTGTAGAACCACAAAATAGGTAAGTTGTAATCGATGCCTGGCGCACCGCGGAGGGTATAACCCAACCAATCCACCCGTCTATCGTCGTCCACCTCAGCATCTAAGCCTGGCTTCATCTCCATCGGCCCATCGTCATCGCCGCTCATCCAAGTCGTAAAGTCATCACAAACCCCCACCGTCACGCTAACACCACCTCAAAACCTTCTCGCCGTCGCACCAACGAGCCCCTCGATCGAATGATGCTCGAGCTCATTCCTCGCCTTGAGAATGCTCGCATGCATATCCTTCATCGCATTCCCCAGCTTCACCCCGAACCGGCTCAGAATATCCCGCTGCCACGCGTCGTACTTTGCGTTCACCCGCGCCTGCACCTGCTCGTAGTCCACGACGCACACGCCGAAGCCCTTTTGCGTCTCGGACGTGTCGAACGTCGAGCGCGCCTTCTTGATCTCCGTGAGGAGCTGCTGCCAGTGCGCGAGCGAGTCGCCGAGCCGGTTGAACACGTATTCGGCCTCGAGGTCCCAGAGCGACTGGAACTGCAGCCATTTCGCGACGTACTCTTTGAGCTCTCGCACTTTTTGGTCGATGAGCGAGAACGGGCGCTGGAGGATTTCGTCGGGGAGCTGGGTGAGCTGGGAGGAAAGGTTCGTTGAACACGGACACCAGGCTGGCGCGGAGATTGGAGCTTACGAGAGAGGTGTACGTTGTTTCGACAGCGGCCGTGACCTGCATCTGCAGACCGATCTCGTACCGCGAGCTCTGTATCCGTCGTAACCGACACACAACACCTGAGAATACACTTAGTACCCGCGTCACATAGGCCCTGAAAACACACACCGAGCCAATCATGTAGTTGCTTGATCCACGTCGAGCGAGCATACTCTATTGGCGGATCCAAGAAGATAACCTGATTCTGTATCCGGATCTCGTGCACAATCGGCTTCACAGTCAAACTGCCCTCCACAAACTACGCCCATAACATGTGTCAGCATTGCACAGACATGCGCGTGCGCGGTACGCACCTTCTCCTCCTTGACTCCCTTGCCCGCCTTCCGCTTGTTCGTCATATCGCGCAGCGCGAGCGCATCCCGGCGGTCGCCGTCGTCCGCGCCGCGGTCGAACTCGCTGCACCACGTCTCGATGATCTGCGTGAGCCGCTGGAGAAAGATATCCTCGATCCGCTTATCGAGGCTGGCCACCCAGTGGTCGAGGTTCGCGTAACCCTCCAAATTCAGCCTATCGATCTGTCCCGCCGCATTGTGCGCGCATTAGCTCCTACACCTGACATACGAGAGGACAAGGACATACGGCAGCCTGAATGCGCGCCAGCAGCTCCGCGAACGCCTCCGTGCTGAACGCGCACGTGCCTAGATCCTCGACCGCGCGCGTGATGTCGCGGTACAGATCAATAACGTTGTTTGTCTTATCCTGCAATACACTGACGACGCTCGCGAACTCGCGCACGAACTGGATGTGCCGGTTGTCCGCGCGCCCCTCGGCGCCGACGTACCGCGCCGTGTCGTACTGGTTCACGAAATAGTCCCAACGGATGTTCATGCCTGTATATCCGTGCATCCATTAGGAAAGCCATTCACTCTATGCAAGAACACAAGAAGGGACAGGCGGGAGACGCACCCTTGGACACCATCCTCTGCGCATCGTTTCTATACTCTGCCACCAGCCACTCGATCCCTCTGTTGTTCTCCACAAGGTCCAGCGTCTGCCCGTACGTCCGCACCGTCTCCATCAGACTCACCGCGTGCGGATACACCCGCTTCGCGTCCTTGGCCATGTTCGTGATCGCGTGCGGCACCTGGAAGTTGAGCCACAGCAGGTTCCGCACCTCCTTGAACAGCGTGATAATCTGCGGATCAAAGTTCACCGCCAACTGATACCCGCCACCCCCTCCGCCCCCCGCGCCCCCGCTTCCACCGGCGCCGTTCGCCTGCGCCTGCGACCCCCTCAGCCTCACAATCTCAAACAGCCGCCCATTAACACCCATATCGCGCCGATTGATATCGTGCAGCCACGCATCGTACACCGGCCGCGTATCGAGCTTCTTGCGGAACGCCGTGCTCTCGCTCTGCAGCTTCTGGCCCTCGGCGTAGAGCTCCCAGCCCTTCCCGAGCACGTCCTCGACGCGCTTCATGTACGTGAGCAGCTGCCGCTCGATCTGCCGCGCCCAGATGATCGCGCCCGCGATCGGCGGCAGGTCGCGCATCTGCGACATGTGGTATGCTTCCGAGTAGCGGTATTGGGTTTTGAACTGTATCAGAAATCGGGGAGTTCAGCTCGCTCGCTCGGACGGGATAAACGAAGTCGAAAGCTACGCACCTTGTCGTGCAGCCGCTTGATATCCTCCTTGACCGAGTCAATAAGCTGCGTCTGGTACTCTTGAATCGCACCACGAATCTATTGTCACATCATCATCAAGGTCCAGCCCCTCCACTATACCATGAGATACGTACCTTTGGCCGTACGAAAAGCGCGTTGAACTTGGAAAACACCCTAAACATCTCATTCGCATTCCGCGCCGTACCCAGTCGATCGCGCAGTCTCGCAATAATCTGGTTCTCAACGCGCGCCACGCGCTCATTGTACGCGTTCTCGGCCGTCACCCAGATCTCCGTGCCCTCTTCAATCGTGGTGATATCCCCGCTTCAGCATACCATTCGACCAAAACCAAACCCAAAAACCAAAACCCAGGAAACGGGACTCACCAACAGACACATCCAGCACATCGATCCTCTTAATCACCTCATACGCCTCCTTCACCTCCTCCTCCATATCAATCCCGCCCACCTCCTTCACCATCGTGCCCAGGCCCTTCGTCGGCCCCGTCATCACCGCCAGCTGCTCGTGCTGCTTCCGCCAGTCCCTCAAATACCGACACCGCTCCTGCAGCTTCGCGTGCGCGCTGTTCACCTTGATCGGAATAAACTTCTCGAGCCTCTTGCGCATCGCGTCCCTCGCAACATTCGTGAACTCCTTGATATGGTCGTCCCACGTCCTAAATATCCCCATCGCCTGCCCGAGCAGCCGGTCGAAGTTGTCGTACGGCTGGTACGCGAGCCGGTGCGACGTGAGCACGCGCAGGAGCTGGTCGTTGAAGTCGCGCGAGATGGCCTCGACGAGCGGGAGCGCGCGGCGGATCGGGTACGGCGAGAGCTTGAGCTTGCGGATGATGTGCCCGAAGATGAACACGATCGCTTCTTGGATCTTGTCCAGGTCCGTCGCGGAGAGCAGCTCGTTCAGCGGGAAGTCTTTCATCAGGAGGTTGTACTTGTGCACTGCAGCGCCCCGTTCGCGTTGGTCAGATAAGCATGTGCGCGCGGCCGCTCTTGGACACGACGAATGTGGGGGGACGCACCGAGCTCCGTGGACGCCTTCAGCCCCGTATCCGCAATAAAACTGACCGTCGCCAAAAAGCGCTTCGCGTTCCTCAAGCAGTCCATCACCATATTGACCTCGTCGCTCCGCAGCTGCGTCTCGATCCCCTCGAGCGCCCTCTCGAGGCTCAACCAGAAGTTGATCTCCTGCGACGCCGTGCCGGACGAGACGTCGCGGCTGAGCTTCGTCACGGCCTGGATGGACTTGATCCACGAGTTGACGTGTCCGTGCAGCGTGTTGAGGAACGTGCTGTCGTTGAGCAGCTTCGCGGGAATATGCGACAGATTCGGGCGGACGCCGGATGCGTGCGCCTGCGGAGCGGAGCAGGTGTCGTTCGCGTGGTCAGATGGAGTCTACGGAGATGTGGGGAGAGATAGGGTCACGCACCTGCTCGACGGCGCGCTGGATGACGGGGTGGATGATGAGGTGTGTTTCGGGGATCTCGACGTTCTGCTGGAGATGGAGGAGGGACAGCTCGAGCTCGGCAAACTTCTTCTTCGTCATCGGGATGCCTGCGGAGGCTTGGTGTGAACGCTCTCAGACGATGCTGAACAAGGACAGATAACGCACCCATTTTGCTGTCCCCGCCATCTTTGTTCCCTCCCCGTGCGCCGACGAACGCATCGAACCATGGCTTGACACCGAAACTAACGACAGAGTGCAGACTCTCGTACGGCGTCTCCTCTCCGCCAAATAAGTTAAGAATATGCAGTTGGGAAGCAAGCGGTGTGACCGGATCCAGCGTCGGATTGCGTTTGATGAGTGCGAGAGAAGTAACCGTGGAAGGGGAGTAGCTGAGCTGAGTTACAAGGCGATACGAGTACGTTGGGGGCGCTTCCTCTGCGTTGTCATTGACATTTACATTGCATGAGCACATCAGCATCAGCGCATATGCGAGGTTCGTGGGACGCACCTTCCCCCTCATCCTTGACTTTGACTACATATAATACACCTCCACCCTCGGCGGCAAAGCGAGCGACGCGTTCATCGAATTCATCCTCAAAGAGAGAGTCGAGCTCGGTCGGCAAGGCACCCAGGACGGGCGGGAGGAGGGCGGAGAGATACTGGTGAAAGAGGGTGGTATCGAATGATGGGGCGCCGTCGACGGCGCCATTGCCATTAGCGGAAGCGGAGCCGTTGACCTCGTGAGCGAGACCGTTGGTTGCGCTGGCAAGAGGCGCAAGGGGCCCTTCCGGTGTAGACATGGCGGGTGCGGGTATGGGCGTGGACGACGCAAGAGAAGACGTTGACGGGTTCGTGGAATATGGATTGAGCGATGATGATGGTTCGCGCCAGAGACCTGAAGCAGCCCTGGCCAAGCGGCGAGGAATCGCAAAGTAGCCGTGGGCTGCTGTCGATTGGAGGTCGTCAGTGCTCCTCCTTGACCACATCTTGCCTTGCCAGTAGCAGACATTGGAGAGAGAGAAACGCACCTGTGGTGGTAGGGGAGTGGCCACGCGCGTACGGAGGAGGAGAACGAGGCTCTCGTCGTCGAATCGCACAACCCCAAACGCGTGCATTTCCACAATCAATTATTTTGCGATTTCCAACTCCGACGTCGTTTAGCAACCCTCACCACGTGCTCTAATTATCGCGTCGCGTCCTCCTCCGATCCGCCATCTTGCACATACGAGGGACCAGCTACCTGACCTGCATTCTTTCTTCAACGTTACAAGTCCTAGGTATTCTAGTCTCTAACTCCATTTACTTCCTCCGAATTCCCCGCTTTCTCGGCTTGCCTTTTGGTCAGGTTGTCCGCTGAATAAGCGTCATCGAAACACGGCATCGCACCTACAGCTGGCGCAATCCCCACTTCTCCGCCCATATAACAAGTCTGAGCTTACCTTGAAACCCTCTTGTAGCTGCGATGACTGTCCCTCAAACACCTCCCCCATTCATCGTCTTCGGCTATGGCTCCCTCATCTTCAAGGTACGCAATAAAATAGCAGCTTTGTTGACACTAGATGCTGACCTACCGCAGCCACCTCCGCCTCCATTCGTACTCAAACAGCGTAAAACCTCTTGTTCTTGACTATACGTATCCGAACTTACCGAGCACAGAGCCGGGTTTCGTCAAAGGATACGTGCGTCGCTTCGCCCAGATGTCGCATGATCATCGGGGAACACCCGAGGTAACTGCTCTCCGAAATCCTGACACGGACTGACTTTGACGAACATATCAATCAATGATGGCTAGAATCCCGGACGCGTAGTCACCCTGATTCACAAGGAAGACTGGGATCACTACTCCGCGAGCGACGCGTTTCCTAACGAAGATACTGTGTGGGGTACGTCTGTGAGATCATGCAAGCACTCAACTACCTGATATCTCTACGTAGGCATCGCATATACCATAGACCCTGAGCACGAGAAGGAAGCTCGCGCATACCTAGGTAACTCTTTCGAAAGAAATTCAAGGACGGAACTCATGTGTACCTTGCATCAACAGATCACCGCGAAAAGGCAAGAGGCTTATTTGCCAGTCACAGCATATCCCTCACGCACGACGCAAGGACGGATATACCCTAGAGACAGTCGACATCTACGACATCGTCGACGGCGAGCCGCGCGTCGTGATCCACGGTTGCTCTGTGCGTCCCACAATCCACCCGCAAGTAGCGATAAACTCACGCCGATTCGAACTCGCAACCAGTGCTACGTCGGCCGCCCTTCCAATCCATCCTTCAGTGCGTCTTCCACCGCCGCAGCTAACATCGCGCTAACGACTCCACAGTCGGATCCGAGCCCCTAGACGAGCTCGCACACCGTATCTGGCAATCGGTGGGTCCATCCGGACGGAACAAGGCGAGCTACTGCCTCCCTTTGCTCGCCATGGTACAGAAGAACTGACGGATCAGCCACGGAACGGAACGAAACAGGACTACCTATACCGCCTCGCCGAGGAGGTGCACAAGCTCTCGCCGGCGTCGAGAGACGCGCACCTGTTCGCACTGGAGGTCCGTGCTTTCCACTCCGTCATTTGCGTATCATGGGCACTCATTGCGTCAAAGGCAAAGATCAGAGAGCTTGACAGCAAGCACGGAGAGATATAGACGGTTTTGATTACGGTGCATGTGCACCCCCTAATCCATGTTACATCAAACAAGCGGCACTTCCATTTCGTCCAACTTTACCTACGTACCGTAAAGTGCGGGGTACGCGGTCCACGCATAGCACCTTGAAACCACGTTCAGAGCCTGGGCACGGTCCTTTTGAGCGCGCAAATGCGCCGTCTTCCGCTTCCTACACGCCACCAACGGTCTGGCTCTGACGCGCTCTTTGAGTCTCCGCCTGCGGTTTGATTATCCCATGGGGTGCAGGTTTATAACTTCTAACCGACGTGGAACTTATGAAGACGCGCACGAACAGCACCGCTGCTAGCTGCCCACGGCCATGGCGTAGGTACTGAGATGGCCACATGTCCAAGGGCATTTAAAACCACGAATCGACGTCGGAGCGCCTGACATACATTCGGCGTCAGAACAGAGTTTAGACGTATATAAGTAGTAGCTCAAAATGCACACCGGACTCCCGACTCTGACTCGGTCGACAGCCATATCTTGGACCATGACGAATGACACCTCCAAAACCTTTGCACTCGCGGGCGCAGGCGGAGAGATCGGGCGGTCCGTACTTGAGGTCAGCGCACTCACCGAATGAACGTGCCGCCAGACAGTACGTATTCTCACAGGCTGCGCGGACAGCGCCTCCTCGCACGCAACGCATCCAAGCTCATCGTCCTCAGAGTCACACGCCCCTCATCCACGTCGCCATTCGCGCGCACCACCCCAAACAAACAGTGGAAAAAGCGAACAAACACGCACGACGCGAACGCTGTAACAGCCCCCATCCTGCAGACGCACGCTGTCGACGTCCTCGTCTCGACGGTCGGGTACGCGGGCTTCGGGGCGCAGGCGGCTGCGTGCGGCTCTTTGTCTCGTCCGAGTACGGCAGCGCCACGGAGGGCCTGACGGGGGGCCTCTAGCTGAGAAAGACAGTGTCGCGGGTGGGTGGAATTTACGCTTCCCCAAGGCTTGAGCGTGATGAATGGGCGCTCATCTGCATCAACCGGGGACGGTGCAGAACACGCGAAGTCGCTTGGGCTTCCCATTCTGCGCGTATACGTGCGCATTCTCGGCCTTGCACTGCCTTGTCTGCGTCTGCAACGATATCGGCCCCCCAAACGACAGGGCTGTTCATCGAGCACGTCCCCCGACGGGCGCTGTCGAGGATAAGAGCAGGCCCCCCACCCCCAACCCGGGAAACAAGCCGTTTTGCTTGACCGCGATCCCTGACATCAGCGGTACCGTTCAGACCTATGCTATCGCAGCAAACACCTCTGACCAAACCCCCTCTCCCTCTCTTTTCCCTTCTCTCTTCTCTGGAAGGCTTCCTCGCATACGCGCTCACAAGCCTCCCGCCGAGCGAGCTCCAAGACGCAACGTTCCGCCTCGAACGCGAGCGCCTGTCGATCTCCGAGGTCGGCGTTCTTTACGGCACGCTCAAATCGGTTCCGGTGGACCGTGTGGACAGGGTTCCGGAGGACGTGCCCAGGGCTGGTATTATGGAGTACCTGGCCATGCTGTTCAACGTGGGCGAGGGCGTGTCCAGTTACGGCGTGGTGCAGGGTAGGGATTTAGCTCTCGACTCGCTGTCGAACGCGTTGTGGGAGGGGCACCGGTGGGGGACTGTGAAGGATGTCTTTGGCGTGTGAGGACAGTGCCCGTTGGTGCGGAACCAAGAGTCGTATGTTTGTCAGAGAGCAGATATATGTACTTGGCACGGGTAAAAAAGAGTCTGTTGTACCAGTAGCACTGACATACGGAGGTCACCAAAGATAGATCAAGAGCATTTAGCCTGTAATTGACGGATTCATTGGTCAGATGCGGGCTGCGTAGGCGGAGATATGACGTGGTTATGAGCACATTGCATCGTTTAAGAAGTCCAGCAAGGTACCGCTCGACTCTTGAGCTTGAAGCTTGAAGCTTGAAGTGGACTGTCGTAGTCAACGGCAAAGACGCAACTTATTTGTCTTTGCTTACTCGCCTTTCGCGACGCGCCGCCATGTCCCTCCCAGCTCTCTCACCATACCACCTCAGCCTCGCGCTCACCCTCCCAGGCCTCCTCCTCCTCTGGCGGAACCTCCGCTTCCGCTTCTACGCCTCGCGCCGCGCGCGAAAAATCCCACACGCGCAGGAACGCGTGCTCATCCTCGGCGCGAGCAGCGGCGTCGGGCGCTCCGTCGCACACGTATACGTAAAGCGCGGCGCGAAGGTCTGCATAGTCGGTAGGCGGAGAGACAAGCTCGATGACGTGGCGCGGGAGTGCCGCGCGATGGCTAGGGGTGGTGCACAGGTGTTGATGGTGAAGGCGGACTGTGCGGATCCGGAGGAGATGGTGAGCTTGCGCGAGCGGTTGGAGGAGGGTGCGTTTTTGGTTTTTGGTCTTTCTTAGTGCTTGTTAGGCGCTCATCGCATACAGAGTGGCAGGGACTAGATACAGTGATCATTACTGCAGGAGTATCAGCTCTGCGGCCTATGATGTCCAATGCTGGCGTCGAGATGGATCCTCGACATCCTCCCAAGTCGCAGGCGACCGCTGAAGGCTTAACCCATGCCATCTCCGTCAGCAACGCTGCAATCACCGGAAACTTCACGGGTCCTCTCGTGTCCGCTCTCTCCCTCGTACGCAAATCCATCTTACCATACGCACAGACAACACTCATAGACGCCACCACAGATCCCACTGCTCACGCTCACCTCCCGCTCCCCATCCATCCTCCTCCTCTCCTCCGCCGCAGCCGTCATCCCCGCCCCAACACGCGCTCTCTACGCCGCAACCAAAGCCGCCTCGCTGTTGCTCTACCAAGCCCTCGCAATCGAGCACCCACAAATCGCATTCACGTTCTTCCTCGCCGGCACGATCGAGGGCGACTTCCGCGCGTCGGCCGTCGACAAGGCTCTCCCTCCCAATCTGACGAGCTCGGGCTCGGGCTCAGACTCCAGCGAACCCACCCCGCTCGTGCGTGAAGCCAATCCGGCGAAACACGGGCTCAAGGTCGGCTGGGTGGCGCAGCGGTGTGCGCAGGCGGTCGACAGAGGGGAGAAGAACGTGTTCACGCCGATGTATATGCGGTTTGGGCACTTGTTTTACTGGATAGTTCCAGCCTATGTGGAGTGGAGAGCGAGGGTGAAGTATCGGTATACGTGAGGGCAGTAATGTCGCGTTGTATCCCTACGTCACTCCTGTTGTGAACCATACAGACAAATGGCTGGCATGGCTTGTTCTTTGAGTTTGGCGTAGTAGAGGACATGTGGCAAGCGTGAGCTGATACAACACGCGGTACAAACACGGATCTGCATATGTGCACTTGAGCTCGCCTTCTCGAGTTATTGCCTGGTGTTTCTTCCTGGCATTCTGTTCTTTACACGTAGGTAACATCCTTTTTATTTTCCGCAACACCATACGCGCCAAAGCAAGCTATGACCTTCCCCGTCCTGTCACGACAATCACATGCGACCAGCCCACCCACCATGACACCATGACCTGGAAATATCAGCTGCCTCCGCGGAAGCATTCAAAAGAACGCAGTCTTCTTGGCACATGCAACGCGGTCGCCCCTATTCAATCGGACGAGTCTCCCCTGGGGTGCGGCGTCTGCCTCCCAACTCGATCCTCGAACGCCATCCGCCGAGCCTTTCTGCCGCCGGCCGCTTGCGTCCTACTTAAACGGCCAGACGAGAGGCAAGCCGCTTTTCTTTTCCCTTCCTTCTCTCCCAGTCCTCTCCAACGCCCTCGTCCTTGCCCATCCTCACTGGGACCCATCGCCCGTAGCAAGTACCGGGCGCAAACGCAGCCCCACTCGCCCGTCGTCGCTCCTTTGAACTCCTACTTTACCAGCCACCATGTCGGCGATTTTCATCTTCGAAGTGGTCATCCTGTTGCTGGCCTCGGTGTGGCTGAAGCAGGTTGTCGGCGTGGAGACCAAGGCGCTCCCCCAAGCTCAAGGCGACGACCAAGGCACCAGTCCGGAGGGAGCGGAGATCAGGAATAACGGGCTGCCAGTGGGCGCAGAAGGATGAGCCTTGCCTTGCGCTGGTTGCGGTCGGAGGTACGCACTCAATGCTACGAGCCTTTTACCTGCATCTCACTATAGACTCTCGCTGGACGTACAGCACGACCTCGGTGCCACCGACATAACTGCACGTTAGACCCGCCATGACACCATTTTCTCTCCAAGTTTATTACGGGCGTTGAGACGGCTCCTCACAGATACCCCGGCGTTTCGAGGATTTCATATTCATTCATTCACGCATGCACACCAATGTACTATACATAATCCCATTTGCGACGACGCGATACCACATCTCCTCCCCACAAACGAGCTCATCGTCGCGAGTCGCATCACGAATGAACCCATTCTCCAGCTGTTGATATCGCTGTCGGTGCTCTCATAGCACGAGGAACGGAAAACATGAGATCTCCAATAGCGTTAGATCTCAGCGAGAATTTTATAACAAAGAAGAGCGAGAGTCAAGAGGATGGAGGAGGCCGGGAATAACGGAGTCAAGGCGGAGCCCCGGGCCGCGCGGCCTAGGTATCAGCCGGACTTGCTCAGGTAAGGGATTCTCAAAACAGGGATTGGTATGCTGAAACGAGGCCCATGAAGACACGGCGGCAATGCCGATGGCTGGAAGAGAGGTCTTCGAATTCTTGGCGACAGACTGTTTGGTCGAACTGGTGTTGACTACTACCGCCGTAGCACGTAGCGTGCGCGATGCTGAGCCTCGGCCGCGAAGCGCCGGCGGGAGCTAGCATGGGAGATGGAGGCGGAGAGCAGCGGCAGCGAGGAGTGGAGGCGAATGTAATGTTGCTGGTGTAAAGGGTGACTGTATCCCGGGCGCGCGACTCCTCGTTGAGCAAGCGCAAATTGACATGTCGCGAGCGCGAGCTCGGAGGGAGGGATGGCGTCGAGTGCGACGACGATCGTTGGGCACGAGAGGGGGAGGCCCACCGCGGGCACCGGGAAGCCCTGATCTGATGCTGCAGCGCCCCACGACTAGCATCCAGCCCGCTCTTAAGCTAGTGCATGCTATGACGCCCCTACCTGGGCCCCACGCAGGTCGTGAGCTCCCAGTGCTCGATCCACCACGCTGCCCACCGACGCTGGCGTCGTCGAGCCCCATGCCACGCCGCGCGAGACGCGGAGCATAACGAGGAGCGGCGCTGTTATCTGCATCTGGCCGAAGACGGTGGCCGCCATGTACTGCGCGGGGCTGTTCAGGAGGTATGTGACGACGAAGGCGATGGTGAACAGGGCGAGGATGAGGTACGACTCCACGAGCATGGCGCCCATGGACGTGTAGTGCTTCGTGTGCGGCGAGCCTGGCGAGATGGCGATATGAGCGTATGCGTAAACGGAGGTGTGAGAGAGCGGATGACGGAGCGGACGAGGACACGCACCCCAGTTGGCTCTGAACCGGCGCCTGTAGGCGAAGAGGCGCCCCGCGACGAGGACAGTGACGTATAGGTTGAGTGCGAACGAGGTGATGAACATGGACGTGATCAGGTCGTGAGTTGTGGTGTCGCTCGCGTTGAACACCGAGCGGCGGCTGAAGACTATGGCGGCGAGGAACCCGCAGACTGGACAAACATCGGTCAATGAAGCGCAATGCGGGCATGTGTGAGCCCTTACGTGCTGCTGAAAGGTAGAATAGGACAGGGGCGACGATGAGGTAGCGCCAAAGGCGCGAGGTCGACCAGATGACTTTGAACCGCCAGAGCTGCAAGGTGCCAGCAAGAATGTGTACCATGCTCATGGCTATCCATACACACGAATCAACGACGTACCATCATCCCGTCTGTAAGCAAACGCACAATCCACCACGTAGTGTCCACCACTAGCGTCGTCGAACCGACAGCCGGAGCCTGCGCATACGGACTTTCGAGAGCGCGCGCACCGTTGTAAACGAAGGTATTGATGGACCCTTGAGATATCCCGCCCATCATAACCGTGCCGGCCGCCCACAGAGCACCGACATACGCCAGTAGAAGCGCGAGCTGTCGCGAGGACCACCGCTGACGAGTCTGGAGGAGAGACCAAAAACACATCGCGGCCGTGACGGTCATGAAGCCGTAGAACACGCCGCCGACGGTCATTGTGCCGATGATCTGCAGGCTAGCTGCGAACTGGGCCGCAGCTAGATCCGGCACCTGTTGGGTGCTTGTGGTGGAGGTCATACCCCAAGGACATGGACGTCCACACGAGAGAGAGATGAGACAACGGAGGGTACCCTTCACAAAAACACCGGCAGCTTTAAACTTCTCAACAAGTTGATGCGGGCTGAGAAATGTGGCTGTGCTCTGAATGTTTGTATGTCAACCTTTTCTCGACTCTACCATTTCTCGACACCGAGTGAAATGTCGATAAATCATGGGGTGTGACGGTTAGTGACTATCATTCAATCTATACCTCCCAAAGTCGGTAGAATGAACGGGGGGCCCGGTCCTTGCATATCGAGGGGGAAGTCACATCGCACTCATGGCGAAAGCAGTACTAGAATTCAGTCACAGTGTGAGGGTACGCGTTAAATACATAGAAAACAAAAGAGCGTGGTGCATGTGTACATCAAACGTTTATTCTACCGAGTCGTTGATCAAGCCGACAATCGAGCTGCAGAGCCAAATCCACCCGACTCGACCTTCAGACTCTCCAATGCCCGGTCGATCGCGTTCTCAACCATGCTCGCCGTCGTCACGTCCGCATCCCAGGCTATCCCACGCGAGATGCGGATCATGACCATGAGCGGCGCAATGATCTGCACCTGGACGAGGACAACGCACATCATGTACTGCGCCGGACTGTTCGTGAGGTACGTGATGGCAAGGAGGGTGGTGAACACGATAAGGGCGGAGCACGATTCGACGAGCATGCCCCCGATGGACGTGCAGTGCTTTGGGTGTACAGATCCTAACGCAACAGCGCCAATGTCAACAAAAGTGCATGAAGACGTCTCAATTTTCAACGAACGCACCTAAATGAGTGTGAAAACGGCGTCGGTAAGCCCAGAGGCGGCCTGCGATGAGTGTTGTAATGTAGATATTGAGGGATAGTGTGACCATCCAATAAGCCATGAATACTCGGTCTTCGTTGGCCTGGCCAGTCCATACATTGCGATTCGTAACATTGAAGATGATGGCGGTGAAAACACCAATGACTAGACATAGTTGTCGTGCCATAAGCCAACGATATGACAGAGCATAAGCGCTGAGACTTACCGACGTTCGAAATGTATAGAGCAACTGCAGGTACTGCGACGTAGGGAAAGTACAGTGAGTTGCCCCACACCACCTTGAAACGCCAAAGCTAATCGTAGCGTGAAACAGTAATGAGCACGCGGACGCGCGCGTAGAGAACCGTAGAGCTCACCAACAGCCCGTCACCCATCAACATCGCCAACCAGGCCGCCGTATTCACCACCAACGCAGTCGGATTCACGCTGGGCGGAGCGATTTGCAGGATAGACTCCTCGACCATGGTGCACGCAACGCTGACCGTTTCTGCCGTGCCGAGAGCCCACAGCGCGGCAATGTACGCCAGGAAGAGCCACAAACGTCCTTTCGAACGACGCTGGCGCGTCTGGATGAGAGAATGCGCGCAGATTCCGGCCGTCGCGGTACTGAAGCCATAGAAAACCCCGCCGACAAGCAGCATGCCGATGATCCGGAGGCTCGCGGCGAGCTCCATTGCCGTTGAATCTGGAGGGCCGTTGTTGCTCGCAGCCTGAGTCATGCCTCAGTTGAGATTGGCAGGTCGCTGTCACAACGAGTCGGGACAGCTGGCGGGGAGGGAGTTGAGAAGAAAGATGGGGTGCGAAAAGGTGCGAAAGGGAGTGAAGCTGGGGAGACAGCAAGATCGCGGAATTTGGGATCTCCTTATGGCGGTTCGGATGTCATGGATGTCATGAGATGTCACATTGTTTATAAGCTGAAAAAGGTTTGACAGATGGTTTGGGCCAGCTGGCAGGCTCGAACTTGGCTCGAACTAGATGCAACTTTGATGAGGAGTATGCACATATAGAAAGCACGTCAGCCTTGCGACAATGAGTTCAGGGACATGAACCGATTGGATTGTTATCCACGACATGAACATGGAGGCTCGATTACCTGAATATCTTGATTGGATGAAAGTTAGATGAAAGAAAGGAGACGGTGATAGCGGAGGTTTTCCGTTAGCACATTTCGGGATTTGCCTAACCGCCATGCATCCAAGAGTTCCAAGAAGCGCTGGAGTAGCGATATTGTTCAAATACAAAATCGCCGATAGTCTAATTTGGCTCACCAAACTACAGCATCGCGACGCTACAATAAAGCGAACAAGCGCTTAATTGGCCTTAAATCAAGCAATTTAACCTTTGTTGGCCTCTTCGACATCCTGTCACTCGGCCGACACATTTGCATTCAGCCAACTCTCCCAAAATAAAACATTCTTTTCCTCCACCGCCAAGGCCTCGTCCCTCTTCCGCGCCTCCTGAGCCCTTCTCAACCCAATAGCGACCACCTCTGACAGCCTAACCCAGTCCTATCTGCAGACGGTCTGTACAGTGGTGTAACGTGGGAATTCGGCTAACACTGGTATAACCGACGTGACAGGTTCTAATTACCATAGTTTACTCTTCTTACCCGCACCTCTACCTAACTCGACATACGCGTACTAGATAATAGACGTCGTTCTTGTCAGTTTGGCCTGAGGATCGGATAGAAGGGTGGACTCACCCTTTACAAGTGGTCACATGGATATCCTCGAGAGTACTTAGGGAACATTGCGGCAAGTATCACCGCCAGCGGTCCGAAGCCGCCTTCACCTAAATGTAACCCGTTGAGGACGAGCGTCTTCAAGGGATGGGAAGAGATGGGTTCGCCGCTGTGAGAGAACGTGGATGCAAGATACTTCGCGAGAGCGGCCAAATCAAGCGGCACAGACACGCCAAGGTGCGATAGACGAGGACAAATGCTCACGAATGCGAACAGACCGTCGAGCGTGGTGTTCGAGGTAGTCCACCACCGCTCGGGCGTTAGACTGAGCTCTTCGAGGAGAGGGAGCCCGCGCTCGAGCTCAACGAGATCTGCGTCGTTGATGGAAATGTTGGTAGGAAGGTCCCAGTAAAGAACGCGTATATTCTTGAGGCGTAACAGTGGGCTCAAGATGTCCCAGCTTAGAGAGATATGTGGGCGGGGTCGGAAGCTCAGTTAAGACAGTTTTTAACTTAAGTTTAAGGGCTGATGATCAACTCACGAACAATATCCACTCATAACCACTTTTGTTCCATCGCTTTCACTCCCTCCTCAGCGTGAATGACATCACCAGGGAGACATAGCAGTAGAGGCTAGTAGAGGGAGCACATCGGTAACTGTGGACCATAATGTATGCAGCATTGGCTCGGAGAAAGTGTGACAATTGTCCGAGCTAAGGCTGCCAGGATCTGGTGCGGTCGACTGCTACTTATCATTCCACTTTGGAGGGTAAAGAGTATCGTCCCGATCGGTCTGACCCGGACTAACATACCAGATTTTTATAGAGAGAACCTCCGCTATCTGCAAGTGTAATGCATACGGGGCTCCGAGGGCATTCGCTAAAAAGCGGACTCAGATGAGAGGCGATGATGGCAAAGCCACAAGACAAGAATTTTAGTCTCACGCGGCAGGCGAGCAGGTCGAAGTGGCAGTCTGTGCTAAAAATAGCTCGCAGAATGATCTCGGACCTCCACCACAATCTTTTCCAGCGACGCGTGTTGCTGTACGAACTCACCACCAACTCACTCGCATAGACCAATGCCACATTTCCATGCAAAGCTCACACTGAAAGTGTACAAGGACCTGCGCGGTTTTGCGTAATAAATAGCGCTCTCGGGAGCGACTTCGAAGAACTTCGGCCTCCTCGTCCCCCGCAGCCGACCTCCAGGTTTTTTTTACGCCAGCTGGCAGAAAGTGGCTAACAGGCTGACAGATCGACGGCTTTTCATGACGTATTCCCGTCTAACACCCGTTCCTGGTTGTCGATCCCGCACCCTCTCCCCGATGCTGCTCCTGGTTTTGCTCCAGTTTGCTCCACCCCCGAGTCGGGTTCCGCGCAGAACTGCTTGTTCCAGCATCTCCTCGTGCTCTTTCCCCATCAATATCTCACGTGGCCAGCGCTAAAACTTGGTCAAACCACCTCGGCAGCCCCGCGCGTATCCATATGCTCGCTCACGCTCATTCCGAATCGTGTCAGAACCATACAGGTTTTGTCGCGCTGGCAAGCGCTGATTGCTACGGACCATGGAACTCGGGCACGTCTGCGGGTACACACAGGCGTCACTGGCCGGCGTAGGGGACTTTGACCTCGCTCTCATGCGCGGGTCGAGCACTCATCCAGAAAACGTATAAATAGCAGCTCTCCAGAGCCTCAACGTCTCATCAACCGGTCTCACATCCGTCTCTCAACCACCGCTTCTTCACTCATATCACCAATGGCCAAATACGCTGCTTTCGCTGTCGCCGCTGCCGCTGCCGTTGCCAACGCGCAGTCGCTCAACGTCGTGAACAAGTGCTCTGACAGCGTCACGCTCTTCACCCAGACCTCGTTCGGTACGATTGACAACAACGTCAACGTCGCTGCTGGCGCCACCACCGACATGAACATCTCCAACAACTGGGACGGTGCCATCAACGTCGGCACTAGCTCGACCGGTGGCCCGACGTGGGACGGCACCACGCCGTTCTCGCGTGCCGAGTTCAACTTCGTGCGTTTTCTTCTGCCTTTGTACACTTCAAAAGCTTTTGAGTCTGAATGTGGGGTTCTGTAGTACGCCGTCCCCGGCTCGGTCACCTACGACATCTCCCTGATCTACGGCTACAACGTCGGTATGGAGATCTCGTCCTCCGACTCTGGCTGTTCCGCCTTTGCCTGCACTCTCCCCTCGGGCTGCGTAAGTCCCGCCCTTTACTTTTACGTTACATCCCAGCCCTAACCACTCCCATTCTCATATCACAGCCCGTCCCCGGCCCTGACGGCTCGTGCTACTCCCCCTGCTGCTCGTCTGTCTCCGCCTGCTCGGGCGGCGCGCTCCCCGCGGGCGGCGGAGGCTGCACGAGCAACGCCGGACCCGGCCCGAACTCGCCGTTCTACTACAACAGCTGCTACAACGCGTACGCGTTCCCCGACAACGACGGCGCCGCCGGATACACTCCCGCCGACAACGTCGACTTCACGTGCGGCAACACCGATATCACGCTCACGCTTTGCCCGGGCACGACGTCCAATATCCCCAAGTAAACGGGTCGCCTGGTGGCGTTGTTGTGGGATGAGCACCGGCAGTGTGCTGGATCCTACTAAAGGGATGCGATGGAAGTAACTTTGATGGCGGATATAAGTTATTGTAAATATGGAAAACTTCGCACTGGTTGTGTTCTTTCTTCGGTGTCAACTTTTTATACGTTTGGTGTTAATATTGATATGGCATTATCTCGAGTGTGACATCGTCAAGGTTCGCATTTAGTCCTGATTTGCTTTTGAAGGTCGCCGTGGGAACTCGCCGTAGGATCCGGCCAGTATCCGCCCCCAACGCACTTTACCCACATCGCACAGCGTACAAAGCAGAATATTGGTAAACACGGTACCGTACCGCATAAGCACTTATAGCATCGCATATCTACGTTTGTCAGAGGCAATTTATGACAGATCGCGCTTCAAGTTGGTCCTCGCTCGCTTGTGTAAGTGGGTTATGCAGCTTCTCTGTGTCAATACCAAAACACAAACGGTGGGCTCTAGCGAAGATCATTTCCCAACATTGGTAGTTAAGGCTTTAAAAAACTTCAGGACAAACACATGATATAGTATTCCACCGTATCGAGGTGGTACCGTGACTACTCAGCGCAAACCACAATCATGTTCCTTGAGCAATTGTAAAATCCTCGCTTTCGACCCTCTCTGAATTTGAGCCATCTGTCGACACAGGAACTGCGGCGTGAAAAGGCGTTAGCGACAGGGCCTCGCTTTGATGAGAGCTTATATCGCTAATTTCTCGGAGTTTGAAGAAAAGCCGGCCGGCAAGTATGCTGTGTATCGTGATTTGGAGGTTGTTTAGATATTCATTGAAATATTGCTAGAATAACTTTTCAGGGGAACTGGGGACAGTGATGGACACATGTAAACTTACAGGCGCGAAAGCTATGTTCAAGATATTGCCGAGGGAGAATCCTACCGAGTAGGAATTGGATAAGTCCAGTGTTTTTGAAATAGAAAATCCATGCCAATACCGATCATAATTGAGACGTAAAGCACGGCATCTCGATAAACCACGTTCATTATAGGTAAACTCTGCTGGTTACCAACAGAACGATAGTGGTATATCCATCGGAAGATGACAAGGGAAAGTAGTACTGAGAGAGGTGAGATTGACGTATCAAAAGAAGAATGCTACTGACTTATCTCGAAGGTAACCAGGAAGCCGAATTGAATTGTGCTGAACTTTGCCGTTGTGAAGTTACAAGTGTTCGGCCCTGTATTAGCGGAGTAAGCCTTACTGGAGTAGAACAATGGTAAAGGAGATCATCACAAGGTGTATATGTATACACTCCCACGTTCAAATATAAAGTGAGGAACATGGCTAAAACGACAAAAATCTATGTGCATAAGTAAGAGTTAGCATACAAGAACTTTCCCGCGGATGAATGCGCATACCAGCTCGACGACGCAGAGGACAATCAGAAGTCGCCTGTTACAGCCCCAGAATGCCCATGTTCGGATTAACAGGAGACCTGGTGATGGATATTAGAGAAGGTTGGCGTTTTACCTCATCAGCGAACCTTCAGCAGCCAAAATGCTTAAGAGATGTAAGACTTTGAGTTATCGTCAGTTAATTTCATCCTTGAGAACCCATTGATTTGTTGACGAACAAGTAGATGGTATTGAATTGTCAGGACACTGCAACGAGCTATCTTAAGCCTCCCTCTCGACTTGCAAGCTGTGAAACAGCTCACACGTTTCAGTGCAACTGATTGCATTGCAGCTAACCACCAACATCAGCAAAATCGAACCCTAGCGGAACAACAGGCTCCTACTTACCGTACAACGTCAATGCCAATCCAGGAAAAGGCGCATATCGCGCGAGCATAAAGACGAAACGTCCAGCGTTCCATTTCCGTCCCCAAACTAGGTTCACCTGGAAGAACTTAGTTTAGAATAAGAGAAAGCGAATGAAAGTGAATGAACGCCTACCTCTTTGTTAAAAGTGATGCAATAGTCGAAGGTCTACAAAACATCTTGGAATAAAATGCGAGGAAACACAAGTAGCGTCGCAGGCTCAACACACCAGCACCGCTAACCCCGCCACTAGCATGCCCGCCGTCAGTGACAAACAACAGAAACCGCATGCAACTTACTGTTTGCATACTAGAATGTGTTTCAGTCTCACAATGACATTAGATAATCTGAGCTTACCGCGTTAGACTGTTTACCATAAGCTATAGTAGTAAGCGCGACTGTAGCCATTGTATGAGTTCCTGTTTCGTTAGAAATGATTTGACAGGGCCAGGGAAAATATGCTCAGCGATGGATTTTTAATGCAGACCTCCGATGGCTTTATAGGCGTCAAATACCAGCGATAAGCCAGTACTGGCAACAGACATGGGCAGCACATGGAAATCTACGGCATCTTTTTCGTCAGGAGCGGCGATGTAGCGTGGCGGCACACTAGTACACATCGTTGGTATCTGTCCTATTACAGGTTGTTTCAGGCTGCTATGCATTTGACGTCTCCGTACCGTGAGTGCAACACTCGAGATTGGTGGCTCATGATGTTCACTTGTCAGGGATGTATAACGGATGCATGAGAAAAGACGTACAAAAGGATAAAGTTAGAAATTAGGAGACCACAAAGTCAGCATCTATCAAGTTTGTGTCAATTTTCGGACCCTTGTTGAGCCAAGACTGTGTGCACACGGAAGGTTGAATCTTTGCTGAGATTTTGTGTGGTAACGACGAGAAGCTGTAACGTCCGTTTTGATGAAGTCACAAACGTTGAGCTTCAGCGGCTGAAGTCCTAATACTTGTTGAGCGCTCCAGCGCAGCTGCCCGTCACTCGCACCTAGAATTGGCTAATTGCAAACGTCGATTACCCAACCGTTTGAGCGTGGATTGAAAATTGCTGCTTGCGAGTATCCAAATCATCGCCGTGGCCTCCCAAACAAACTTAGATATCCTCTGGACCGTGGGCGTAATAGGAGCCGACATATGAGTAATATGATAGCCAGCACGGGTATCTCGGAGAGGATGCAACGGCGATCATGCAGCATTTTGCGAGATATCCTCGAAGACAGGAACAACGATTAAAGTACATGGGGACAGCTGAAATGAACGCGGAGGACGAAAATGGATATGAGATGATACTGACATCACCGTTGTAAATATCCTCGGGTACCAAACTTGCGCCGTGTGCGAGACTCAGAACTGCCCCCACCGTGCGAACGATGCATGCAGTTTGGCTCAGCTTCAGAGAAATCAGGTAGATGATGGACATCTTCTGAGTACACTTGGACGGGCCAGCCAGAGACCGGTGTAAGTATAAACCTATTCCTGGAAAAGATCAAACTAACTTGGACGAAAAGACCGGTGGTGGCGCGGAGTGTGGGAGGCTGTTGTAAGCGCTGCGATGGTTTACGGACACTGAAATTTACCTATGACGGGCTTCATGTCCGAAGGTTCTTTAAAGAAAAAAACGACATGGAAGTTTCGAGGACGACCCGGGAGATGCTGCCAATCTCCGCCGTGCGATGCGCAGAGAAAACCAGACGTCTGCGTCAACCTTTTGTGGCGAGAGGTGAGAAGGAAACACCGTCCTATTTGTGACCTATTTCATGAGCTTCTCCGCGTGATATTACAGGACATCACCGAGTAACACAGGCTTCTGTCTTTCTACACGTCCAAAACCTCAACCTCAGGATCCCCGGAGCAAAACCCAACATCCCCCCGCTCATGCGCGTCCACAATGCGCTTGCACATATCCTTCAGCGCGTTTCCGACCCTCAAAAAGTCCGATACCTGCTTGCCACGTTTATTCAGAAGCGAGATTTGAAAAGGGAAGGAAGGCATACGAACCTCCGTCCATATCTGCGCACTGCACCGCGTCCACCACCGCCCGTTGTGCTTGTAGCACCCGGCCGAGACGTTCCACTCGAGCAGGAGCGTGCGGCTGATGAACGCGCGCACCTCCTGCGTGTACCAGATAGCGCCGGGAATCGGGAGGGCGACGTTGACCTGGTTGAGGTACCGGGCGGCATCGTTAGTTTCCCGCCGTTTGAGTGCATTGACGGGGAAGGGGAGTGTGAGGGGGGAGGGAGGGGGAGGGGAGGGAGGGACAGACCATGTTCCACGTAAGCGATCCGTCGGGGTCCATGACTTCTGTGCCGAGGTGCTGCGCGAGGGCACGTCCGCCACGGAGGGCCATGGTGTGGCAGTATTGGTGGATGAGGGCTTCGCCGCCGAGCCAGGCACGGAAGTTTAGTGCTACGCGGCATGTGTTTGATTAGAAGAGAATACAAGACTAAGAGAGAGCGGTCACCTTCGTCGACGCTCAAGTAGGGTACGTAGTCGATTGTTGATGTCGCTGCGCTGACGGTCAACAAGGTGATGTGCGGGATGGTGAAGAGAGGGATTCACATTCGAACATGTCCACGAAACTCGAGGGACCGTTGTATTCATTATCTTGAGGAGACCGGTACGTGAAAGGCGTGGGTATTGGGGATTTGAGGAGGTGGTGGTTTCTGGACAGCCGGCTAAGTTCGGAGACAAGGCCGTGAAAGGATGGAGGACATACTGTCTAGGCACGTATAGCACAGCGCACCCGCGCTTTGCAAAGAGCCACTTGTGACAATTCTACGCCGCGTTAGCAATTGAGAGCGTAGGGCTCTGGATGAACAACGCACCGAAACCCAAAAGTCCGGCTTCGCCTCCCCAAGGTTGATATCCGGCTCCTGCCCAAGCGCATGCGCTGCGTCCACGACCGACAGTGCCCTGTACTTCGCACACACCCGCACCATCTCCTTCCAGGGCATGCGTGCGCCCGGTGTAGACGTGATCGCGTCGATAACAGCAATGATCCTCGGATTCCTGCTCTGAAGCCTCCAGAGTCCTGAGCTCAGATTTTTGATGTGCTCCTCGAAGGACTCGACGATCTGCGCGTGCGTCGTCGGGAGCTGGATGTTGAACGTGGACAGCGTGATTTGCGGATGCGTGTCCTTGAGGTACTTGAGTGTCTGCGAGACAGAACCGTACGTTGTCGTTGCTGCCCTACCGTCCATTAGCCACCCGCGACTCAGGGGCGGGGAGTGAGACAGTAGAAAGAGAGGAGCGTACCGCCAACGATCACATCCCCCTCACCCCACGCGAAGTTTCTCAACACCGTCGCTAGCCCGTGCGATGTGTTTGTGATCATAACGCACTCGCCGACGTGAGCACCGAGCATGCTCGCAAGCCGCTCGCGAACGCGGGTGGTACGTTCGTTCTGCGCGAACCAGTGGAACTTGTCGGGGTTGCGCTCGATCTCTGTCGTGAGCTTCTCGCAGACAGCTTTGACGGGGCGAGGGAGGGAGCCGTAGGAGCCTATAACCGGGTTGTCTTGAAGTCAGTACGCTCGGTCGGAAGCGGACGCGCGGGTGCGTACCGTGATTCAGATTCACATATCCTTCGTCAAAGTCGAACAAGGGGAGCATATCATGTCCGAACGCTGGTGGTGGGCTTTTGTAGAGGTGTTCTGGGTCATTGGGAGGGTTGGTGGATTCGTGGTCGCGGATGATGGTCATGGTTGTAGGATGGAGGGTTGGGAATGTCGGATATGTCGATGAAGCGCTTGGGTCATGAGACTGACATCAACAGAGTCCGAACAGGGCGCTTGTTGGGCGCTTACGTGAACTGAGAGTTGCAATGCGACAGTTCGACGGCGGTCTGGATTTGTGTTTTTGTCTGAGATGTACTTACCGAAGAGCTAATAAATACTGAAGCTGAAGCTCTGGAAGTGAATTGCGATTGTTGAAGCAGGTGTTGAAGAGCGAATGTGGCTGTGCTCGATGCTGAACGCGTCCCGCTGCCTCGCCTGCCACCTCGCCTGTCCCTGCCATTTCCCTGCGTTGCACATCTCTTTTCTTCCCTATCTCCTGTTGAGCACCCGTGAAGGAGCTCAATGGCAGCACCACCTAGTGCAAGCGCTGGAGCGTCAGCCGAGGCGGTGCGTACGCTCGTGGTTTTGTAGCGCAATCCCTCATAGACCTCGTCTTTAGCTTCGCACATTCTCGTTCTTCGACCTCGAGCGCGTCAGCGACGTTCATGACCTCGCTAACTCGCCCGAGATTCTCAGGGTACGTCGTGCAGCGCGTCGGTCGAGTCAGGGTTTGTTGACTGAGCAATGCAGAATGCAACAGACATATCCACCGTCGTCTCTTCTGCCGCTGGACTTCTCGTAGCTGATACACATGGAAGCATACATCTGCTCAAACCCGACTTTTCTCCAATTACGAGCTGGATCGCGCATGTGAATGGGAGAGTAACGCACATGGTGGAGCGGGACGGGATTCTGATTACCGTTGGGGTGCGTTCATATGGACAGTCTTTGCAATGTCGTCCTGGCTTAGACTGTGCTCACTAGGATGAGGATGGTGTCCGTGCCTCATTGCTCAAAGTATGGGAGCTCGCTAAGATAGACCAACGTACTGGCGCGCCGAATCTGCTACGGTCCACGAAGGTGCAACCAGGGAACAGACCCCATCCAGTGCGTCACACAACCCCTGCCTCCCCCATATGCCTACTAAGCGTTGTCGCATATAGGTCTCGTCAATAGCCCTATCTTCCTCCATGTCCTACCTCGCGCTCGGCTTCGGTGACGGCACCGTGCTCCTCTACCGACACCTCGACCAATCCCTCTTCTCATCGTCGTCCTCTCTCTCCGCTCTTCCGAAACCGCGAACGATCCATGAATCCCCAACCGACCCCATCACCGGTCTCGGCTTCCGCGAGCCTGACCCCATACACGACACAGCAGCGACCGTGAACGGAAGCGGTGCCGTGGGCACAGGCACGGGCGCGAGCCCAAACCTACACCTCTTCATTGTCACGACCGGCGGCGTGTGGGCATGTCATGTCTCGGGGCGGGGGTCAGGCGGCGCGAGTGCAATTGTGGATGAGGTGGGATGTGGACTTGGGTGCGCGACGATGGACTGGTATAGGCGGAACGTGGTGATAGCTAGGGACGAATCGATATATTCGTGTGGCATTCAGGGGAGGGAGAACTCGTACGCGTATGAAGGTATGTCTTGCGCGTTGTCTGGGCTCGACATCTCAGCCTCACTCCCATATGATCGACTAGGTCAGAAGACACTCATCACCCCACACCTCAACTACATCATTGTCGTCACTCCGCCTTCGCCTCCACCACGGGGCCTCAGCGCAAGACAAGACAACATCAGCGAGAGCACGCGCGTAACCGTTGTTGACCTGGAGAACAAAATCGCTGCGTACTCGGGCACTTTCAGCGAGGGTGTCCGAGAGGTATTCTCGGCGTGGGGACACATTTACGTCCTCGCCAATGATGGCCAGGTGCGACTTGGTCGCTGAGCAACCCTTCCCCGCAATTCTGATTTCTTCGTGATATCACCAGCTGTCGAGCCTGAAGGAAAAGCCGACGACGGAAAAGCTCTCCATGCTGTATCAGCGGTCCCTCTACCCTCTTGCGCTCGACGTGGCACGTACCCAACGCCTCGATGCGTCACATGTCGCGGACATCCACCGGCAGTACGGCGACTATCTGTACTTGAAGGGCGACTTCGACGGCGCGATGCACGAGTTCGTTCAGACCATCGGACAGCTGCAGCCGAGCTACGTAATTCGGAAGGTCCGTCGCACCCACAACCTGATCGCCCGGCGTTTGCTGACGGCAGAGCAGTTCTTAGACGCCCAGCGGATACACAACCTCACGACGTACCTCCAAGAGCTGCACACGCTCGGTCTCGCGAATGCGGATCACACCACGCTGCTGCTGAACACGTACACGAAGCTCAAAGATGCGTCACGGCTCGACGCGTTCATCAAGAGCGAGGTTAGGCGCAGCTCCGCCAAGGAGGGCGGTGGCGGCGGGGGGAGGGGAGACGGCGAGGAAGAGCTGCCGTTCGACCTTGATACTGTTATTCGCGTGTGTCGCCAGGCGGGGTACTACGAGCACGCGGCTTATCTCGCGCGGAAGTACGAGAGGCACGAGGACTATTTGCGGGTGCAGATTGAGGACGCGGGGAACTTTGGAGAGGCGCTGGTGTATCTCAGGCGGCTTGGTGCTGAAGCGGTATGTGTTGCGCTCTCTCACGTGGACGTGGGCTTGGATGAATGATGACCGTGATCAGGCCGAGAGCAATCTCGCGCGGTACGGGCGCGCGATGCTCAACAGTCTGCCTGAAGAGACAACACAGCTCCTCATTGACCTGTGCACGGTCTCTGGTCCTCTTGTTCCTGCCGAGGAAGACGAGAAGACCTCAGGGCCTACAAGGCAACAGACAACAGGCGCTTCCTATCTAGCGTACCTGGCGCTCAAGGGTCCCGCAGCGGCCCCCGCAACGACCGTCGGCGACGACACCGCCGTCCCGCCCTCGCCTTCCGCCAAAACCGTGCAGGCTAAACTCAGCGACTCGCCAACGCAGACAGCAGAACCATCAAGGACATCGACTCCCGTCCCAGGCGGCAACGCACCCGCCCCCGCTGCACCTGCCCCGCCCCCGCCGCGCGCCAAACGGCCGTCGCCGTGCCTCTACTTTGCGCACTTCGTCGACCACACGGCGTACTTTATCACCTTCCTGGAGACCGTCGCGCACCGGCGCTGGGGCCAGAGCGTCGACGCGCCCTCCATATCAGCGACAGCGACCGTGTCCCCGTCGACGTCGACGATGGTGATGGCCGACGCGGACGGCACGGCGGCGGCGGCGGACGAGGATGTCGAGCGACGCGACCAGGTGGCGGTGTGGAACACGCTTCTGGAGCTGTACCTCGACATCCCGGCGGCGCTTGCGGATTCTGGCGGCGGCGGCGGCGGCGCCGATACGGACGCGCAGGGCGGGGCAGGGGCGAGGGAGAAGGCGCTCAGGGTGCTGCAGAGCGCGAGTCTGCCGTATGATCCTACGCATGCGCTGATTCTGTGCACGAGCGCGCGGTTCACGCCGGGGCTCGTGTTGCTCTGGGAGCGCGCGGGCATGCACGAGGATGTGCTGCGTTTCTGGATCGACCGGCATAATGCGGGCGGGGACGATGCAAATGGACATGCGTCGGCGGAGGTGGTGCGTGCGCTGGAGGCGTACGGCGCCGAGCGCCCGGGGCTGTATGCGCTTGTGCTGAGGTTTTTGACGAGCAGCGCGGAGCTGCTGACGCGGCATAAGGCGGATGTGGAGCGGATCTTGGAGCATATTGAGAGGGAGAGGATTATGCCGCCGCTGGGCGTCGTGCAGGTGTTGAGCCGGAACGGAGTTGCGAGCGTGGGGCTCGTGAAGGAGTGGCTGCTCAGGCGGATCAAGCAGAGTAGGGAGGAGATCAACACCGTGCGTTTCGCTGTTCCTTTGCTCTTCTGGTTCTTGAAAGAGAGAACTTACGCGGGTATGTTTGGACAGGACCAGCAGCTGATCAACTCGTACCGCCTCGAGACGAAGACGAAGCAGCGCCAGGTCGAGGAGCTGTCGGACCCGGAGCACCCCAAGGTGTTCCACGTCACCAAGTGCTCGTCGTGCAACGGCCAGCTTGACCTCCCGAGTATACACTTTATGTGCAACCACAGCTACCATCAGCGGTACGCTTCCCTCTCTCTTCGTTTCCGTTCTCGGTGTTCCCCCGCTGACGATGCACGCAACAAAAATAGATGTCTCTTTGGGCACGACAACGAATGCCCGACGTGCGCGAAGCAGCACGAGGTCGTGCAGGAGATCCGCCGGAACAACGAGCGGCTCGCGGACCAGCACGAGCTGTTCCTCTCCGAGGTACGCGAGAACGGGTTCCAGGCTGTCGCGGCGGGATATGGGCGGGGGCTGTTGAACTTAACGCGGTTGGATGATGTGAGTACTATGTAGACGTGGGTGGTAGAGATACCCTTGCATTTGTTGTCGTAGCCTCTGTCACTAGGTTGTTTCTGAAATTCGTAGCGCTCCAGTGCTCGGCCTCGGTAGTTCGCTTGTCATGAAGCTAATGGCGACGCTCAAGTTTTACGAAAGATGTCGGAATCACATTCATACACACAAGTACTGTATAATTTCGGGAATTTACAAAGCTTCACTTCGATGGATCTACTCTGTCGCGACCTGTATCACTGGCTTTCCAGTAATCTTACCCGACATCTGACCAGTGAGAGTCTCCTCGGCCTTCTCCAAGCCTTTGACAACTTCCACGTTGTATTTGATCTCGCCGCTAGCGATCAACTTGGGAAGGACCTCCCTGAATTCGGCGCCCCATTTGCTGACGAGGTTGGAGACGACGAATCCGTGCATCTGGATTGACTTGGGGATCGTGAGGAATAGGTTCTGTAAGGGTCGGAGTCAACTTATAGTGGGTGCACGCCGTAGTTAGAGGGAGGAGAACGGCGTACCTTGACTCCATATGTTTGGCCCTCGTAGCCCGAGACCATGCCACATTCCTGCCAACCCGCTTGAGCCCCATGAATGAGCTCGGTAAAGGCCCAACACTCACTATGAAATGCGCAAATGGCGCGGCAGCGGTTATGGATGCTTCGAGCGTCTCACCGCCGACGTTGTCCCAGTATCTGGATTGGCGCTGTTGTATCAGACTCGGATAAATCATCGAATGTATATGGGACATACACGTCGATGGGGCCTTCCTTTGCCAGGACGTCCTTGGTGGCAGTAGTCTTGTAATTGAACGCGACGTTGGCGCCGTACTGTTTCATGAGGGTGACTTTCTCCTCGGACCCGGCAGAAGCGATCACTTTCATCCCATCGCGCTTCGCAAGCTGAATAGACCATGCTTGAAGGTGAATTAGTCCCGAGGTAAATCCACAATGACGCTGGGGCACTCACGAGCCAACGCCGCCTGCTCCTGAGCTGACGAAGCAAACCTTTCCCTGAAGTGTGGCAAAGTTAAGCCGCCAGTCTCCAATGTTTTTACTACAGGGGAATGAGATGCATACCTTGAGGGAGGAAGGTGCGTACTCCTTCCACCCGTAGTAGGCGGTCTCACCTGCGGATAATGTCAACATGGTCGCTTTCTGCACATGAAGCCTGGACGATGTACCAGCCAGTCCTACAGGACCAAGCCAAGCGGCGAGAGGTATGCTATTATCAACGACGGAGAATCGTCCGGCTTGCGCCGCAGGACATATAGCATACTCCTCAAAGCCTTGTATTTCCAAATGAGCTAACGGTAGTATACTTGAGTGACAAAATGTCGTCTCACTCATCATACCATACACGAGATTACCGACTTTGAAGGAGCTGTGTTCGGAGCGCAGTACGCGGCCGAGTCCGTAGTTGATGATCCTGATACACAGCATGAGTTTCGATGACGCCTCATAGAGAGGGGTTACCTTACGGCTTGCCAGCTGCATAACCCTTGGAGCCACTTAGAACATGTGGATCAGATGCAACAAGACAATAACGTACCCATCCCGGTGGTGCACTCATGCGGCCACGAATGACAGGATCGATGGAGAGGTAGAGGACCTTTACAAGGAAGCCACCATCGAGGACAATAGTGTCGGTGTCGATGGCCTGCTCCTTGTAAATCATACTCTTCCCCAGGACAAGGGGACCTAAAACAAAGCTAGCATGAACTTGTGGTTAAGACATACAATAAATGTCCGAACCTGGTCCCGGAGCTTCGTTGAAGATGATCTGGCCGTTTTTGACTGGAGACATGTTAGATGAACTAAGTGCTTAAGTGGAGGATTTATTTGCTAGCGTTCTTGACGTCACATCCTGCTTTTATACCTGGACACAGCACTCCAGACATACTAGTGCAAACCGTCGAGCGGGTTGGCTGTTAGTAGTTGTGAACTGGCTGTGGCCGCTGTCGTGGCCCTTCGGCAACCAATTCCACGTCTTGCTTCGTAAGGAGACCAGATGGTGGCTCACTTCTTTAGTCAGTCTGAGTGCTTTCTCATGAATACAATTTCGGGACAAGTGGTGCTAGGACCAGGAACTTTGAAAGCGGCTGACGCTGATGAGATGACGTTGGTGGTGGCTGGAGGCAGGTCGACGCTGATTGGCTGAGAGGACGACATCCGCTAGAGTTGCTCGGTCGCGAGCGGGTTGATGCTCGTTATTCACACGGTCCATTGTCAGAGCCTGTAACAAAGCTAACATATCGGGCTGGCCAAAGGGCTGAATACGTTCGCCAAAACATCCCAAATACCCTCAGATTGGTTTCAGCTACAATGTGTCAGATTTCGGTACCTAGCTAGGGAATACGTGCAAGCTGATGTACAAGTACTGTCTTTCTTTCGACCAAAAGTTCGTCCCATGTCCTATCGAACCCTGCGCCGCGAATTTGGGGTCAATTTGTCCCGCCTCGGCTGACCTCGAAAACTTAAGCGGGGGGATGATTCAAATTGGAGCTGATATAAAGACATATTCCTAAGTTATCTCTTTAAGTTTGACCGATATGGGCCCCAGACGCTTTAAAAATGGGATATTGCTCGCAGAGGAGTGTTGCAATCGCACTCCGTCCAACGAGTTCCCGACGTGCGCGAAGCAGCACGAGGTCGCGCAGGAGATCCGTCGAAACAACGAGTGGCTCGCGGACCAGCACGAGCTGCTCCTCTTCGAGGTGCGCGACAACGGGTTCCAGGCTGTCGCGGCGGGATATGGGCGCGGGCCGTTTAATTTGACGCGGTTGAGGATGTGACTACTGTGCAGGTGTGGATATACCAGCTTGTGCTTTGCTATCGTATTCTGCTAGATAAAACTTGGTTTCTAAGACTCAAGACTCATGGATATATAGTTGTTGCATCGGCGTTTCGGTTCCGGCTGCCCATGTTACGAACGATGATGATGAACGTTCCGCCAGGATTTATGAGGGATGGCAGCGTTATATTCATACATGCTTAAAGTAAATAACAATCTTGGGGACTTACAAGCTCAAAAGTGTCCTAATGGCCCTCTGGCAGCTCTACTCCGCCCCAACCTGAATGACGGGCTTACCAGTGACCTTGCCCGACAATTGGCCAATGAATACCTCCTCTGCCTTCTCCAAGCCCTTGACGACTTCTATGTTGTATTTGATCTCACCACTGGCAATTAACTTGGGAATGGTCTCCCTGAACTCGGCGCCCCATTTGCTGGCGAGGTACACGACGACAAACCCGTGGATCTGGATCGACTTGGGGATCGTGAGGAATAAGTTCTGGATACGTCGAAAGCCAGTCCGATGTGAGTGCACGTCATCTCGTTCAGAACAGATGGAGCTGAAAGCGCTACCTTAATCCCATAGGCCTGACCGTCGTAGCCAGAGACCATGCCACATTCCTAATCACCTGCATAAACCTTGAAAGAGCTCGGTAAAAGCTGGTCCACTCACGATGAAATGCGCAAACGGCGCAGCAGCGTCAATGGCTGCCTCAAGGGTCTCTCCACCAACGTTGTCCCAATACCTGGATTGATGTGATTATATGAAGATCGGTTACTTTATGCGAATCACTTTGAACATACACGTCAATAGGTCCCTCCTTTGCCAGGATATCCTTGGTAGCGGTAGTCTTGTAGTTGAATGCGACGTCAGCGCCAAGCTGTTTCATAATGGCAACTTTCTCCTCGGACCCGGCAGAAGCGATCACTTTCATCCCATCGCGCTTCGCGAGTTGAATGACCATGCTTGGAAACGAGTTAGTCCAGAGGTAAATCCAGATGAATCCGAGTCGCTCACGAGCCAACGCCACCCGCTCCAGAGCTAACGAAGCAGACCTTTCCCTAAATGGCGGCAAGGCTAAAGCACCGATTTCCACATTACGTGAGTAACATGCACACCTTGACTGTTGAAGGTACGTGTTCCTTCCACCCGTAATATGCGCTTTCACCTGTAGATGGTGTAAGCATGGCTCCGGGAGTGAAATTTAAGCGGCCTACCAGCTAGTCCTACGGGACCAAGCCAAGCGACGAGGGGGATGCTGTTATCGACCACGGAGAATTGCCCAGCTTGTGCAACAGGATAGACAGTATACTCCTCAAAGTCTGTAACATTCGGTTAGGCTCATGATGCTGCTGCAAGATTATAACAATTTGCCTTACTCATCAAGCCATAAACGAGGTCACCAGCTTTGAAGGAAGCGTGTTCAGAGCGCAATACACGGCCGAGTCCATAGTTGAGGATCCTGATACACAGCATGAGTTTCGATGACACCTCATAGAGAGGGTTTACCTTACGGCTTCCCAGCTACATAACCCTTGGGATAACTCAGTATAAACGGACCTGGTGCTACAATGAAATGACATACCCATCCCGGCGGCCCACCCAGGCGACCAAGAATGACAGGATCAATAGAGAGGTAGAGGACCTTTACTAGGAAGCCGCCATCAAGAGCAACAGTGTCGATGTCGATGCTATCCTCCTTGTAGATCATGCCACTCTTCCCCGGGACAAGGGGACCTAAGCCAGAGATCAGTGATTACGAAATCATATAATTAATGTTCGAACCTGGAGCCGGAGCTTCGTTGAAGATGACTTGGCCGTTTGTGACGGGAGACATGTTAGATGAAATAAGTGCTTAGGATGTAAATTCTCTTTTCTGACGTCCTTGATCGTTCACTCTGCCTTTATACTTGGACAGACTGGTGCAGGTTCGCGAACAGGTTGGCTGTTACCTGGTCGCGATGGGCCATCGCGACCAATTCCATGCCACGTTGCGTAAGGAAGCCAGATGGGGATCACTTCTTTAGTCAGCCTGGGCGCTTCTCCATGGACGCGATTGGGCCAGAATTTCTTAAAAACGCTGATGAGATGATATTGGTGGCAGTGGCGGGAGACAGGTCGATGCTGATTGGCTGAGAGGGCGACATCCGCTAGACTTGCTCGGGCAAGTGCTCGGGCGTGAGTGGATAGACAATCGAAATTCCCACCATCCATTGTCATATCATCTAACAAAGCCCACACATCGGGCTCCGAAAGTCACACGCTTAGAGCCTAAGTATGCACATTGGTTGAACCTCCCCGACTATTCTTAGATGTATCGCAATCACAGTGCGTTGATCAGTACCTGGTTGGGTACATTAATACGTGCATGACCACTCTATTACACTTGATAGAGTGCGGTGCAGAATTCACCTCTGTGTAAAAGTCAAAGTTATATAAAATATAAACATTAACACTCATGATCAGTCCCTAAATCAGATACATACGGGTTCTTACCCGTCGGTAATACGGCAGGCGTATCAGTGGATAAATATGATACTGTACATCTGATCATCTGAGATACTATCAAACCGACGACAAGTCGCTAAGCTACAGAAGAGGAAACGCTACAGTCGAGTATATCGAGGATGAACGTTATGAACGAGTTCATCAGGGTGGGCCTATCAGGAACTATACGGGCATAATATCTATTTCCCTTCCCATAGTCAAAGATCTAACGTGAGCCCTCAACCTAGCATGCGAGTTTGAGACATCGTGAGGTGGCCTAGCCACAATCGTGCCCTAGAAATCGTTCAGGAACTATCTAGTTTAAAGAGATATTTTGCTTACATTTGATTCTATGCGAATAGCATCACTTTCCGCCAGCATATTCCGAAGATCTTCGCGACTCAGTAAAGTGTCGAGGATCGCCTGCAAGGATATAAGCGGGGAACATCTGGCTCACAAGCAACGCACATTTGTGTACACGCGTCCAAGCGGCATCGCAAACATACCGTACAGTTCCGTACTTGGCCAACGAACGAATGAAACAAGATGCCCCAACGAGAAGATGCCAGCGAGGACACCTGTCTGTATTGCGCCACGGATGAGTTGATTGATGACATGGTTGGTCTTCTTGTATGAAGTACGCGAGCGGAAAAGAATGACGGCAAGAGAAACTGGTACGTGGCATGAGACGGTGCTTGTGCTTGTGCTTGCAGTGAGTGTAGTAAGACTTACTTGCAATTACAAAGTCTGTTACGACTTGAAGAACGAGCCAGAGCGAAATCAATCTATGGACCAGAGATTCGCTTGGAATATTGACGATGGTGCTGAGACCATACTTTCAGCGCAGTAAGACAAACAGACGGATAATATGCTGCTTACAAGTGGGATATCATTGCGGCAGTACCAGATGCAACACCCATTCCAAATGAAGCGACTGCAAGCGCTGCAAGAAGTTCGGACAGTATCCTGTTTCCGCTCAACACCCACACGCTGCCGATGTAAATTCGATTAAATTCATACCTCGACAGTCAATGAAATGATCGGACTTGCCGCCATGACAAAAACAATTCCGTTGGGAGAGCAACGCACGCCGTCATGACTGGGGTGAGTAGGTAGGGCCAAACTCCCACTACATCCTGTCAGCACAGGCGTCGTCTGGCGTAGATTAGGCGTGATCATACCTGCAACAGCCGATGAAATATCGAGCTTAGTGACGCTGAGTTAGGGTTATTGAGATGCGAGGCAGAGTTGAAATGGCTCAAGCTTACACATAAGACCATGCGAGATAGAGCAAGCTAGATTGACATCAGTAAGCTGATGCTCGTTGCGGACGACAGAGGAACGCACATGGCGCTGTGCAGAGCATCCACGATGAAGATGAACAGAACTAAAGCCCTGAAATGACGGAAGGATGTTATGCTCCTGAGGAAATACGACAAACACGATATTGGCTTACTGATGTGTTTCCCATCATTGACCTCTGGGGAGACGGTTTGGATTGGGACGTAGAACTCGAGTAGTCATGAAAGTTGTTTACTTGTCTGCATACATCGGCCAAACTGGCACGAAACAATCCCGAATAGATACGTGTTGACTAGAAGAACGTGAGCATTGACTAAAATGGAGAGGTATGTCAAAGCCCACAGACAACCCCAATGAGGAGGACACCTGAGCGAACCAACTTCGCTACTACTCATCTGCAACGAACGCAAGAATCTAAGACTCACCGATGGTCCTATCAACTCCCCCATGACGCAGTGTCCCGGAAGTGATCGAGGAGGCACCAGGGCTCAGGCTGGTAGTTGGCGCTGCTTATATGCATTGCAGTCAGGGTAACGGCTGGCAACTGTGGTGCACAATTCCTCGCTGACAGTCCGCCAGCTTCGGTGAGATGGGGGACTGGTCATTAGACGAAGAAAAACTCTTTACCATAAGCGCGTCCTGAGAGGTCCTGAGGGAGTGTGCCAGATCTATGGCACGCCTGTCGCGCTCACCCTGACCGAGGCGGCATTTAGAGGCCGATCGATACTGAGCGACTCGGAGGGGTACTGGGGCATGATGTCGTGGCCTCGTGAGTGTCTCACAGTGAGTATGGTAATGTCACACCACCTTTAGTTGAGAGTGCACGGTAGCTCTGGTACAGTGTTAGTGGGTTTCTTCCCGCACCTCTGTCAACTTAGGGCAAACTTAGGGTTTTGTTACTTGAAGGGCCACGACTGAGCCTACCACTTTGGGAACAAGGTCGTTCGCTTACCTCGGCAAGGCGTATGTACACACATGGATGGTCTTGACGGGACTCAGAGCTGGTTCAATATGACGAGTTTGGATCTGTATCAGAGACAACGGTGGGTGAGTTGCTTGCGAGCAGTGGAGGTACAGGGTCGATCGCCACAGTGTAAAGGCAGGGAATTCGGTTAACCCATTGTAAGGTTATATCACCCTACATTTTCACACGAACCTTCCAAAGCACTGACAGTATGCGTTTGGATGGGTGAAAATAAGGCTCTCACAATGCATGATGCCCAGTGAAAACTTGCTGCGAGCAGTTCGGGGCTATTCAGAGCCATTCGGAGAACTGGGGCCGCTCTATGGATGCTTCTTTGATCCTCCGAATGGCTCTGTACTGCTCCGACCTCTGGAAAATTCTCCGAACCCTGAGTGTCAATTTTGGGAGCGATTCGGAGCAGTTCAGAGTGATTCGGAGCGCGCCTATCTGAGTAAGCAAGCTCAGTTTACTAAATCAATTCCCAAATCCAAACCTGACAAGATTTGATCTGTGCATTCCCATAAAGTATGCCAAGCTCGTTTTATGTTTGGAATCTCGACAAACGACAATACATGCTAGGTGTATATCTACAGCAGGAGTAAGAAGAACCGGTAAATACGAACGAGATGTGCACAATTATGTCTGAATCTGTGGACTCTGGAGTATATATCATGAAAATTTCGAGTACTCACAGATATTTGACGTTGATTTGACGTAGAGCAGATTCTTGCAGATAGTTAGTTCGCACGCAAAGTAAAGTCAACCGTGAGTATGACTTCACCTGGGGATCTAACCAGCTGCCCGTGAGCTCGACCGCATTGAGGTGTACAGCTGGAGATGTCGACCATCCGGCGGGATACCAGACGTTGAACAGATGTTGGGCTGAGTGGGAGCGCAAGGGTAGCTCGCCGTGGTTGGGAGGTAAGTGGTAGTGGAAGGAAGAAAGGAAGAAAGGATGTGCGCACACCTGGACGCAACTGCAGGTACGGTACCGGTAGAAATCGGAGATCAAAACAACGATGGCACCAGAAGGGCCCAAATTCTTGCCTTAGACAGAACCGAACAATACCAGGGCACAAATTCGTCGAATCGGGGACATGTGGTAGCTCGAAATGTGAGACAGACTTGCGTAAGTGTTTTCAATAGTACCCAAAAAAGTTGAGTTCCTTACTATTCTCATCGCGCCTTGCTCACGTGAATTGACTTCTCTAATACGCTTAGATTTTCTCGATGGAATGTCATCTCAATGCTTCTCACGTTGGGAGATCATGCTCTGAAATTCTCTGAACCGCTCCGAGTTTACTGATGCAAGACTAATGGCTGACTCCGCTCTGCTCCACTTCTCCGAACTGCTCTGAGTGGCCCCGAACTGCTCGCAGCAAGTTTTCACTGGGCATGATGGCGGAGCTGGGGGGGCGCGCCCGGCTTTTGCCGAACCGCCGCGCGGCCACGACTCGGAACACTGTCCCCACGTCGAGGCTTTGTCGAGGCTTGACCGTCACGCTCGCTCGTCACATCCGCAACAACATTCACCTCAGAAGGAATATAATTTGCTCTAAAGCCTCTGAAATTGCAATGGCTCTCAGCTGTCGCCTCCGCGGAAACTTCCGCTCGTGGCATACTTACGTTTTTCTCCTGGGCGCGATCATCATCAACTTTACTCTGACCTTGTTCAACATCTCTGATGGCTATCGCGAAACCCTGCGCTCTCCTCACTCTGACTCTGGAATCCTATCAGTGACGCAGGAAGAGACAACTCACCCGAACAATGGCCGTTGTGCGACGCTAGGGGTCGCAACGCACATCTACGTCATCTCACTGCCGAGACGCGACGACAGGCGCATCCAAATGGAATGGATACGCAGAACGCAGAACATTACCTGGAGAGTGATGGATGCTATCGACTCGGACGACCCCGTGGTCGTGAACATTCTGTGTAGACAGGCGGAGAGTGTCGGAGCTCTGCGACGCTCGAAGTGGAAATGCACCATTGGCTTTCGGGGAAGAACGCTAGCTTGAATAGGGTAGCAATGTCGACATCTTCGGACCATAGCTCGTCCAAAGCCGGCCCTTTGAAGGTAGTGCACGTACGTGCGAGTGAAGCAAGTGTCTTTTCGCGAGAAGAACCCGATCCAAGTTTCTCGCAGATGAGTACTAGGATGTCTGCGGCGTCGATGGCAGGATGCATGGTGGTTGAGAAGGAAATGTTGGAGAGCCGATGGTCGAGCGGCGGTCAAGGCTTCAGAATGTAGGAGGCTATGTTTGTGCCTCTGGCGCTGATCCTTTTGAACTTAGCCGCCTCGTGTTGCCAGTGGTCTTCTAGTTCTATACGAACTCAGTCAGTGTGATCAGACTCACTACTCCTACTAAATTTTGACGCCTTTCAGTTTACTATTTCTGATTTTGTATCGATGGTTACATCACTGTCATACAACGGGTTCGAAGCTCGTGTACGTGCTCTATCGTGACACCGTGATACATGTGGTTTTCATGACAGGTACGTCATTCTTCAACTTGGTCCACAAAGCACACGCTAAAAGGTAATTATACGAAGTGTTCTCCGTGGCGAGTATTATTAACACAGCAACTGGGTCCGTGAGTGGTCTTACCTTGGGATGTCAACTGCTCGCTCACCTTTGAATAGCAACACTAGTTTACAGCGAATACACTGATAGCTACTCGTCCGTCTGCATCAATAAGCACTTTCCTCGCCTTACAGTAACTGCCCTTTTTCAGCTTACAGGAGACAAATCACAGCGTTTTTGTTCGGCGTGAATATTCTTCCAACTAAGGCAGACGAATGACGCGAAGCAGATCCCAGTGCTTCCTCACACACTCTCGATATTTCAGGCGCGAAGACCGGATGCTGATACCTAGATGCCCCTGATCTCAGCTGGTGCCGAAGACTAGTGATACGTTGCACAGAGGGGGAGACAAGGGCTAGTACAGGGGTACACAGGGCGAGGCTTGGTAGTCTAGAGCTTATGCGATCACTAGCCTGCGGCTATGGTATGAGCCACTGAATGATCTGCTGCGCACACGCTACGTCGAGGGGCTAATAATGTACTGTATCTGCTCATGACGCAGTCGAGTCGAAGCAATGCTTGACCGCAGCTTATTTAGCTTTGAGGAGCATGCTAAGCTAGCATTCGTCCTAGATAGTGGAGCTCATAATTAGCTGTTCCCGGGGCCTCTAGCCAGTTTCGAGAGTGCCACAGTCCCTGCAAGTCAATAGTGGATTATAGGGTCCAAATGGTTGGGATTGCGGTGAACTACGTATGCCTATTCATGGCTGAATGGGAAGATAGTTTGGTGGAGCCAGGCACTGGAGTAAGACTTCTCCAGTCCCAAGGAGGGGTCAAGAACATCATTCTCGATTTTCAAACGTTCGTCAAGGGGTCTAGCTGTAAATTCTACGAGAAGTTTGAGGTTGATGAAGTCGACGTTGGCCAGGCTAACATCTTCGCGATCATGTCGACGAGCCTATCACTCCAAACGTCATCAATGAGTACTGCACTGGGTGTGGCCATGCAGCAAACTCGGGGCCGGATGCTTCCGAGAAGCAAGTCGAAGCTGCGGAAATGAGTACTTTCGCGCTCCACACCACGAGAAATGTTGAAATCTGAAACCAGAGCACCTTGCCTTGGAAGTCTCAAAACGTACAAAGTTTCGGCCGCGGTGAGAACATGGTGAGACGTGCTGCCAGCGAATGAGCCCAATGACGAATACGTACGAGGGTTTCCGAACTCCGACGCGCCAAGACTATGTGGTGCCGATGGATGATTCCGTCGATCTGCACTGCAACAGCGTGGTCTCACCTTCACCCTCCTCAACGTCCTCATCGCTTTCCTTTCATCTTTTCCTACTTTTTATACTATAGATTTCCTCATTACGTTGATCCTTGGCGTATACCTCTCCACATTCGGACATTGCGACGACAGATTCTGCCATCTCCTGGTCCACGATAACCCAGGAGATTCCCTACGACATACTTCGCACACCCGGTTTGTCAGTTGGTTCAGGCAATTGGGCACCATCTTCAGCCATTAATATCTCTTCCCTCACCTATTCGGACGACTGAACTTATCGCCCTCTCCACACTGAACCGCGGCCTCCTCCTTAGCCCCCTTCTGAGCCCCAACACCCTTTCTCACCGGCCTCCACAGCCCTTGGCTCGAACGGTATACAAGAGCGCCCCTCTTTAAACCCATCATGGTTCCCCCTCCTCACTTGAAGCGTGAAATACCAGAGATCGACGGGTCACCCGCTGGTGAGCTCCCTTCTACCCCCACTCCGAAGCACAGCTTCTGACGTACCCACCCTCCGTCCGTCCCCTACCTCTCGCAGGATTCATCGCACTCGTCGTCGTACTCAGCGTTATCATACTAGCTTCCTGCATTGCCGTCTTCTTCCTCCTCCGCGACCACGAACCATCAGACGCCCAGCGCGCCGCACGCCGCTCCCGCTACATGCGCGAAATCGAACGAGAAGCCTCCACCGCCGACGGCGGCCCCGGCTCCACGGCACCTCCGTCGCTCACCGAGCGCATGAAGCGCATCTGGCGCACCAAGGGGTACGCGAGCGCCTCCCGGCGCGGTTCCGGTGGCTGGGTGCAGGCCACTGGCGACGAGTGGGAAACGAGCAGTGCAAACGGGGACGACCACGACACGGGCATGCGGGTCGTCGGCGGGACGAAGCTCAAGGTAGATATCCCGCGGGCGTACGCAGACCCCTATGCGCGGAGCGACTACCCAGCGAGCTCGGAGAACGGCCACAGCCAAAGCCAAGCCCACGGCGCGGGCGGCCCGCCCGTGCGCATCGTCGACAGTCCAGTGACCAGCGAGGCCTTTGACCCGTTCCGCATCCCGTCGGAGTATCTCGACCCGTTCCACGACGCGCAGACGAAGCAGCCCCCGCCGTCGGTGAGCCACGGCCACTACGACGTGGAGGACCCGATGGCGGAGCGGCGGATATCGATTAGGACGGTTACCGCGGAGCGCGCGCTCTCGCCGATACGGACAAGGGGCGACGATATAGAGGCGATGAGCCCCGTCGAGGTGCGGAACCCCAAGCATTTTTCGACGCAGAGCGGGGCTTCTGTGCGCACGTTCGAGGGCGGCACGAAGTTCCTGGAGGGGCTATGACATGCTGCATGAGTCGGTCGGCCGCGACGACGTCAAAGCTGGATGACTTGGTATTGTCTCTGTGCGGAATGATATGGTCGCGGGCATGAGCGCACGAGGAGTGGGACGGGTAATTCGCCATGGGTTTGGCGGCTTCAACACCAAGGGAATCACAACACGACTACGGAAAGATACGAACGACGACACGTAACGACAAAAGTCTCTATTCTCCATCGCATCTTCACCTCCACCTTTTTCTCCACTTTGTCTAGTAGCTCCCCTTTCTATTTTTCCTTTCCCTCCCTCTGATCGTCTCTCCGCTGGTTCTTTGAAACGACGTACAAAACCTGTACAGTTTGCGCACCGCTACCTATGTAGCTAGCCCTTGTTGGATCCTGGTTCGGTTTGTTATTGGACGTTGTTATGCGCATGGACAGACAACGTGTAGCCAGGCGATGTGTACTAGTAGAACATGTGTATATTTTATTCGTAGTTATCTCAATCAGTCGCATACTCTGTCCTGTGATCGACGATGGCCCTCAGCTTCAGATTCAGACTACTCGACAACATCCCGAAGGCTCCGTCGGGACGGCCCGCGGTGGTCCGGCCGCTTGAGCTGGTGTCTTCCGTCCGTGGGAAACGCGAGCACCATGATTTCGCGACAACGCGTTGGGGACGCGCCGTTCAAAACCTTTTTCTTACCCCGGTTTCGTTGTTGTTCGAAACGGCTCACCTGGGGTCATGATCCTCTTGTAGAACCTCTCTTGGTTTGGAGCTCTCCGCGCTAATGTCCATGTATATGCTTAGCGTTTGATGTTCAATCAGAGCGAGGGTTCGGTCTACTGCACAGAACGATCAATATCGGCCAATAAATGTACCGTCGACAATGGCACAATGACGTAGGAGACCTAGGGAGGTAACGGAGTCAGAATCAACCTCGCTTTGCGCGTATGTAGGTGTTCGTGGATATCCCGGACAATCTTACATTGCATCACTAGGGGCAGGATGGTGGCGTTGCTACCATGTATGCATACCTTTGATGCTCTGCTCTTGTCTCTTTTGCTCGTCATCTTCAAGAGGACTCCGAGTCACCGACTTGCGGACCGCATCGGGACCCTGCCAACGTCGATCGCCGAGGCAAACGTCTAACGACGATTGTAATTCCGTCTGCTCGCTCTTTTATTGGCGCATGCTCCACGTCGGTCCGTAGGCAACGATTCAGACCGGCCCAGTCTAATTTACAACAAAAGAGTGTCAAGAAAGAAAAGTATCTCGATGCTGCCATCCCAACCGCGCATATAAGGCCTCTCGTCCCGATTATTGACTTTCGTCTATCACCCTCATTGGAACCCTTACTCTATTCGACCAGCGTCCGCATTCTGCAACTTTCTACCAACTCCTACTTCACCCACCAGTGCGCCCAGCGTACGCTATGGTCCACAGTGGCGGGAAGCCGATGTTGGCGCGCATCGCCGTTCTCTACGTCGAGGAGCAGCTCCTTGGCTTTCAGAAGCGCTTCTGCGACGGCGGCTATGTGCTGTACCAATGGCTGGAGCGCACCGCGCCGGACGGCTACTTCGACTTGATGGACCTCGATCCGTTCAGGATTGTGGATGGGGAGTACCCCGAGGAGGTGGATGAGTATACGGCGATCATCGTTAGCGGACCGGGTACGTTGTTCTCCTGCTCGAATATGGTGATTATGCATGCGTAGTGGCTGAACTCTGATTGGGGCTCCGTGTACCATCTTAATTTTCTGTTTGCGTTTGGTTTTTGGCCGATTATAGCGCACGGCGACTTTGTGAAGGCAGAGTGGATTCCCAAGCTTGTCCAGTTTGTCCGAGATGTCGCGGAGGACCACCCAGGTGTCAAGCTCATCGGTGCGTGTTATGTTTGAGAACAGTGAGGAGTCCTGTGCGATCGGCAGCTGACTCTGGTGATGTCTCTGTAGGACTCGGCCTTGGACACAACATCTTCGCTGCTGCCTTCGGCCAGAACGCCGAACCTCGCGGCTGGGAGCTGGGCCCGTACAGCGTCACGCTCACAGAAGTCGGCCGGTCCGTCTTCGGCCGTGACTCCATGGTAAGCCCTCTCATCCACTCTTACCCCCCACCTACGCCCCAAATCCATATTCACTCCCACCCGCTCACTTGCCCGCAGGTCCTCCAGATGATTCACCAAGACCACGCGTTCCTCCCAGACCTGACCGAGCGCCTGCGCGCCATCGGCGGGCACCCCTCTACGAAATCCGCCCCATTCCACACGTGGGGGTACACCGCCAACGCGCCCGTGCAGGGCCTCTTCCGCTTCTCGGAGAACTACAACCCGGGCTCGTTCTGCTCCCCGGACGAGCTATACGCCAACCTGCGTGTGGTGACGTGTCTCGCGCGCCCGGGGCACTCGGGCGAGATGATGACGCAGATGATCGGGGAGCTCGCCGGGTGCAACGCGGTCCCGGGCGAGGCCCTGGACGAGGCGGGCGAGCGATGGGAGCGGGGTAAGGATCATGACGATGATCTGGATTGTGTGCATAGCGTGTGGTTTGGAGAGACGATTTGGGCTGTGATGCTTACTGATCGTCTTGTGCGCAAGGTGCGCGTTGATTGGGAGCCGGGCCAGCAACGAGTGTACGTCATTTAGAAAGCAATGTAGATGTACCTCCGGATTCTATGTAGTAGCAGGCGTGCCTTGATTGCTGAAGCCCTTATAATATCAGCATAGGCACCTTAAGCTTTTGGTTTATGTGCGGGACGTCAAAATGGTTTGCTTGCTTCTCAAAAGCCTACGTTACATTTACACGACGATGTTCTCGGTGGAGCTATAGTCCAACTCCGACTCTGAGTCAAACGAGTCGCTCTTAGGCTCCGCGACTCTGAACGTAGGTATTGAGCGAGGAAGAAGTTGCTCGAACTCTACGTCATTCGTTTCACGCAGGTGGAAGAACAGCCGAGCGGCAAGGACACTGTGTACCGTGACCTGCAAGCTATCCAGGTACTCGTTGTAGTATTGCTAAAGAAAAGGTTGTAAAGATGCACATGAAGCTACGGGGCGACCACGTACCGGTGATGCTCCCGTGTTAACGATGTTGCCCAGGGAGAAAACTTACATTGAGGTACCAAGTTAAGAATCGGGACTTCAGCGAGAGACGGATTACTTACTAATCATGATCGACACGTAAATTACAGCATCACGGTACACGGCATTGACGATCTTCGAGCACGTGTACAATGAACGGTAATGCCGAATCCAGCGGTAGATCACGAGAGACAGAAGGACTACGAAGCGTCAACGGTGGCTCAAATGAGGGAAGAGAACTTACTGAGCTCGTATAAGACCAAGAAACCGTACTGGATGGCACTTCCCGCGCCGGTGGTAAAATTGCAAGCGTTGGGCCCTGTCAAGGACAGCATTGTCAGATCAAGGCAATGAGCGATGAGACCTCATCGGATAGAGTGCGTACATGGATTTACTGTCTTGGGGAGTATGGCATTTACGTGGGATGTGATGAGCATGGCTGCGACGATAAAGACCTGGAGGGAGGCATTCAGAAGGATATAATTTATTGGACGCAAAGAGACCCACAACGGCAGTGATGCCCAGAATAATGAGAAGGACCTTTTTACACCCCCAGAAAGCCCATGTTCGCATCACCAGGAGGCCTAAAGGATATGCTTAGTAATGAGCGATGTCGCAGCAACCACACCGACGAACCCTCGGCTGCAACTATGGTACCGATGTGTAACACTAAACGGAAGTTAGCAACCTAGTCATTGAGAAAGTACATTATTGAGTGACTTACAGTTTGATGCAGTTCCATTGTGTATGCACTGTGTAGGGTGGGTGAGACGTCGTCGACGGATCTAGAGTATGCTCTGGAGACTCACAGGTTTGAGTGAAACGGCCTGCAACGCCGCTGGTATCGTAGTGATATCTTGAGAATTACAGCACCAGGGTTATCAAGACCGACACTGCTTACCGTAGACCGTGAGGGCTATCCCCGGGAAAGGTAAATACCGCGTGAGCGTGAAGGTGACCCGGCCAAAGTCCCACTTGCGTCCCCATACAAGCTTCGTCTAAGTGACGATGAGTACCGCCATATTAATGCAGTCTTGATAAAACGTACCTCCTTGTCAATAGTGATACAGTAATCGAAGACCTTTGAGCCGAGTTAGAAACATCGACATGACGTGAACTTAAGCGCGATGGACACACCAAGACAGCCAATCCCGCCACTTCGTTTGGACAGCCAAGTTTGTCAATGACAACCACAGGGACGCGAGTACAACTTACTTTGCGCATACTAAAGCTAAATTAGGACCTGCGTTCGCACGATTGTCTAGTATCCAAGAGAACTCACCGCATCGGATTGCTTCCCGGCAGCAATGTTGGTGAGGTCGTCCACAGAGAAAGCCATATCGCCAGCCCAGCCGGAAATTCGTCAGCCTACAACAGAAATGAAAGAAAGGAGAGCGGAAAACGACGAGCGCAGCTCGACGATGTAGGTGACGGTCGCGGTCAACACGGTGGAGGAGAGGCTGTTCCGACTGGTTGAGATACTTAAGGCTGTTTTCCCATGATTAGGCGCTTGAGGCTGTCCATAGACAGGGGGATTCTTGATGCCAGTGATACCGAGGCGATGAATTCCGAGCTTCTGGCCAATGGATGTGGGAAACACCTCGAAATATCTGCAGCGATTGGCTTTGCCTTGAGGCACGTGTACCTTTGAACTGTGTCATTGCTACGGACACGAATGTGCCGATTGTTCAAGGGCGTCGGCAATAGTAGAGCATAAAAGTCTAACTTCGGATGGGGCATATTTATCGCGCGAAGAGGTGGTTGGCTCGACGACCGGGTCAATCTGAAGATAAACGCGTATTTGCGATGCATCAGCTACACGTTTCAGTGGTAGAAGAGTTCCGGTGATAGATGGATGTACCGGCGCTGGCGCTGGGTACCCAACGCGGATCCGATGATGCACGATGTAGTCGGTGGAGGGTACAAAAGATACTCGGGGCTTAAAACGCCTTTAGATCGATATCATTGGTGTTTCTAAAGACACTGGAGGCCTATCCCTATCATATCCGATGGTTACTAGAGGTTGGTGAGTTAGGTGCTTTCCGCAAAGTGTAGATGGATACGGCGAGAAGGGACAACCTAAGAGTATGAGATGACGCAGATCCAGACCAGAGATACAAAAGAAAGTCAGAGTATCTGACTTTTAAAGTTGTTAACCTTGAGTTTGCTAGATCGTCGACCTGGACCGGTAGTGGTATAGGAGAACATATGTCTCGGGTCTCGGAGAGTCTCGGCCTCCGGTTTCAAAATTCACACGAGTGGCTCGGAGGCTTTACGTGAGCCCTCCCTCTTCTCCTCACAAACGCGCTTTTATCTGCTTCCCTCCCTACTGTAGTTCCCTCCTTCACTCGCTCATCTCGTATCTCTATGTTTCTTGACAGTGAACATCATAATTCAGAGGAAAACGTACAAATGTGGCTCATGTAGAGACAACTGTGAAACAGCGTGGAACACGCTTGTCAAGCTGTGTCAAACCCACACCCTTGGTAAGTGAGGCTTACGCACGATGACGTAACTTTATGATAGGGCCCAAGGCTTATGCTGTCCAGTCCGGAGGTCGGAATCGATGTAGAATTCGCCTGTTCAACTGACAAGGAGTGGAGGAGGGGCGTTGTATCTGACTCCTGCTTTCGTCGTACGTGCATCATCAATAAGCTTCTGTCGTTGCCTTCCAACTACTCCAAACCACCTCCTGGATCATCTCGACGTCTCGCACTCAGATAAACTGGTCCCTTTCTTCCAACCGCACTCCGATGTCTTGAACGAGCTGTCAATTCTGGCGTCACCCCTTTACCGGCTGCGATACGTAACCTCGACAACTAGTCCACACACCATCATCATACACAAAACCATGTCCACCGAGCACCCTGCCCTCGTCGACGCGCTCAGCGCCGACCTCACCAGCAAGCTACAAACTCGGATGCTCGATGTACTCCACCAGATCATCCGAGCAAACGCGCCGTCTCAGTTCGGTCGGACCTCTGACGTCCTTGACGACTTCCGCGGCGCCGTAACCTCCTCCAAATATACCAACCGCGAAGCATGTACCGAAGCGTTCAAATATAGAGTCCCGTTGACAGAGTACGATTCCTACGAGCCTTACATCCGAAGGTTCTTCCAGAAGCCATGCACGGCCTCTGACGTCACAGACCTGCTTGCCCCTGGTCTACCGCAGTACCTCGGCATCTCCAGCTCGACATCGGGGAAGGAATGCAAATTTATTCCACGATACAAGCAGGGAATTGAAGGGCTTTCGGATCTCCTTGCGAACCCCTCCTCATTCTTTCCTTCCGAGGGCAGGAAGACTTGTCTGCCGATGTACTGCGGCGTAAACGAGATCTTAGAGATCAAGAGCGACGAAGGCGAATATGTTAATGCGAGGATACCATGTTCCTCGATCTCTGCTTTCGTGACAAGGAAGCGGTTGAACTTGTCGGAATTTGAGAAAGACTCGGAGCGGTTATCGGCGCCAGGTAAGCTCGTCATTTTTATGCCCCTATTCGATAATGTGCTCCTCGCGTTCGCGATTACTGACAGCACATCTAGTTCCCGGTCAAAGTGGCCCGTTCGGGTTACAGCTCATACATAACTACCATTCGATGCACCTATCACACGCTGTGTTCGCGCTAGCGGACCGTTCGCTCGACACATTGAGCATGATGTTTTCGACGACGTTCGTCGACTTCATCCGATCCATCGAGAAGGAGTGGGATACCCTCATAGACGCCATTGCGAGCGGCCAGCTCCCTTGCTTTCCCAATACCGAGCATATATACCACGCCATCGCAGTGAGCAAACACCTTCTGAAGGGCGACTGTAAGTCCTGCTGCTGACATTTGATCCGTTCGTAGCCCATCTTCCGAGGAGATGCCGATCGCGCAGGCGAGCTACGCAAGATTGGTCCTCCATCGCAGACGGCGAGCGGGTGGGCGAAGCTCGTCTGGCCCAACCTGGACCTTTTATGTTCAGTGTGTACAGGAGGCTTTGGGCGGGTTCTTCCTCAGGTATGCAATGCGCATATCATATGAGGAAAGTATCACTGATTTAGAGTGAAGGTCAGAGGATACCTCGGTTCGGACGTCGCCATCCGGAACCCGACATATACCTCGACGGAATGCACGATGGGGATAGCATATGATAGTGACCCGTTACGTCACTACAAGATTCTCACAGATAACTACATCGAGTTTCTTGAGATTATGGAAGACGGGGAAGACGGAGAACTTCGAGCACTGGTGAGTTTCTTCGATTCTGATGTACCCGTGAATAGGGCTCAGTGTGACCTGTGGTGTTAGTGGGAGACACAGAGTGGTCAATTGTACGAACCGTTTCTGACGACCCGAGATGGTCTCTGGAGGTACCGCACACAGGATGCCGTAGAGGTCAAAGGCTTCTCGTCGGCGGATGGGGCGCCCGTCATTGAGTATCAGAAGCGACGAAAGTATGTTATGTTCTCCTGTGTCTGCGCAACCCTTGATAAAACAAACTCTACCCTCAAACAGCCAATCGCTACGCCTCTCGCACACCCTGATCACAGAAGCAGATGTCATGGCTTCAGTCGCTAGCATCGAGAAATTCGACCAAGCCGAGTTCACAACGTGGCTCGACGACCGGATCATCCCGCCTACCATTGGCTTCTTCGTTGAACTCAACATCGACAATGTTAATGGTGCGCAATTGCCAACCTCAACCGACCTTTCGACAGCACCGCTGATGTTTGCCAACGCAGCCAAATGGCTATCGTCTACTCGAGATTCAATCATGCGCGGCCTCAGCTCACACAACGCGAGCTTTGCGGATGGCACCAGTGAATATAGGTCGAGCTGGCCGACCGTGCGGATCGTCGCACCGGGCACGTTCACCGGGTTCAGGCTCTGGAAAGGGCGCGTGAACGGCGCGGGGTGCTCGCAGGTGAAGGTACCAACAATCATGACGGACGAGAAGGCGCAGGCGTTCGTGCTGGAGAGGGTTGTGATGGAGCTAGAGTGACGATAGCCCACGGCTGAATATAATGTACCATAGTTCTGCACAATCAATTATCAACATGCACTGACTGTACCACTTGCAGCTTGTGAATCTCCAGTGCTCTATCTACCGCAGTCTCAACTGAATGTGGAGTTGTCAACGAATCCCACGCGATCCCACGCGAGACACGAAGCATGACCATGAGTGGTGCCGTGACCTGCACTTGGCCGAGGACTGAGTATGCCATGTGCTGGACTGGGTTGTCGAGCAGGTACGGAACAAGGAATATGACGGTAAAGAGGGTTAGGGGAAGGTACGACTCAATGACGATGGCGCCCATGGATGTATAGTGTTTCTTGTCAGGCAATCCTAACAAAATGGGGGTGATACAATTGCATGAGTGATGAAGCCGAAGGAACAAGAAAGGGAAGGGAGCATACCCCAGTTGGCCTTGAAACGGCGTCTATAGAGAAGGAGACGACCTGCTATGAGGGCTGTGACGAATATGTTAAGGCATAGCGAGCACAAAATTGTTGCAGTGATGAGACGATCGTTGAGACTGTCGCTACCCCACACCGGGTGGTTGCTGAAGAGAATAAACGGGAACAAAGGAATGACTGTACTTGATCATTATAATCTTGGTATCCAAAAGGTATGCAGGTACATACTCAGCACAGCAATGTAGAACACCGCAGGCACAGCGATAAGGTAGTAACAAAGTTGCGATGTCGACCAGACAACTTTGAACCGCCAGATCTAGGAATTGTCACATCAATCTGCGCAAGGAAACCTAACATGTCCAAAAAGTGTACCATCATCCCGTCTGAAAGCGTGAGTATCATCCAGTATGCAGTGTTCCCAACTATTACAGGCCCTCCAGTAGGTGCACCATGAAGTGAGCCAGATCCGTCAAACACGAACTTGTTGACCCAGAGCCCCGATATGGCCCCAATAAGCACTGTACCACCTACGGTGACCTGTCCATAGCATACTGACGTACACCAGAAGAAACCCTAGATACCCCCGAGAGCGGCAACGACGCGTCTGAACGAGGGAATGAGCGCACATCACGGCTGTGGTGGTCATGAATCCGTAGAATGTCCCGCCCACGGTCATTGAGCCGACTAATTGGAGGGTATCTGCGAGGTCCTTGTTCGGATCTTGCGGGGCACTCGAGTTGCATGCCATGCCCCTAAAATGACTGTTCGCTGGACGGAGGGAGGTTGCGAAGAGACGAGAAGAAGCAAGAGAAGACACTGGCATGGTTTGGACATGGTCGACGCTCGGTCACGCTGTGGGGTAAGCACTAAGCCTAGTGAACATAGATATTTGAACATAATTCAGTCCTCAGTCCGTGCGAGACTTCCACGTTTGGAACACTTTTGGAACGTTTAGTACGTACTATGTAACTCTATAAGTCTCTGGAGGCCCGGTGGATTGCGGACTATTTGTACACGCTGTCAGTACACGTGGCTGTTTTTGGCTCTGTATCGGGCAGTGTCTTGATGTTTGAATGTAGGGGTCACTGAGCATCCATAAAGTCCGTCCTAGTCCGTCTCAGGCGCCTATTGTAGGCGCTGGCGTCAATAGCAACCCGAGTCCCGACAAGGGCATTCTTCACCCATCCCGTTTGCGTTTTGTTCACCTTTGTTCATCCTTCTACATGATTAATTCATTTTCTTCTCTAGACAAAAAACAAGGCACACCATTGCTCCGCTCCGGCGGGGTGATTGCACTGTTTCAATGACACTCATTATTGAGTAGCGAATAAAACTATTCGCTTGACACCTTAATCTCATAGTGAATATAGTACGTAAAGGTTTTTATATATTTACATTGAATAGAGACTGTATACCATCTTAATATGCGCAATTCAAACAGTTATTTTGAACAACTCCGAACTACTCCCTGATTAGTTACTCTATCCATGGAAACACTAGAATGTGAAATATTATTTCGACTTCACACGGGAGAAGAGCTTCCTGAAACATGAGAGATATACTAAGGAATACTGGAGTGCGATCAGACCGTAATTGATAATTCGTCGAATAAGCGATAAAATACAGGTGGGCAGAGGGCGACAAGCAAACATAGTATAAACCGGGCAATCAGAAACGCATGAGTAGAGACGAATATTTAGATATTGGCAGTGAGAAATAAATTTAAGGATGAATGGAATGGAAATGGAGGCCGACAAGTTCTGTTCATTGGTCTAAGTCGGTCACGAACACACGAACATGAACGGCGAGCTCGAATGAAAAAGACTTTTCAATTTTAGTACTCGGGGCTGTAGGGTGTTTTGGAATAAACACTCCAACAGAGAACTAGCTATAATGCGAAGAGGTGAAGTTTCCAACATTATTATATCTACGCAACTATATCAACATAATGCGCTCATTGTCGCAACGATCGGGAGCGATCATATTCATTCAATTCGCTTTCCACCCTCTCCAAATATGTGCATTCTGTACTCCCTTGATCTGTAGCGCAAATTGGGCTAAGCGACAGGGTTTCTGCAATCTTAGTAAGTCAGGGAGGGACAAGCCCACAAAAATAAGCTCAATGAAGTGTTCAGTCAAGACCTCCAGCAGTGGTAACTTAAATAAACATCAGGGATAGCTGTTTGATTTAAGGGTTGTTACGCGGTGGAGCTGCACTCCGAGTAAGCACTGGCGTCTGACTCTGACCTGTTATTATGAGAGGTGTTATGAGGAGCAAGGAACATACTGTACTTTTTCGACCTTAGGTTCGGTCCCCTGTCCACCCCCCCTCACGAACCGAACTTAAGGGGGGTGGACAGTCCCCCAAAAAGTCAGGCTTCGAACTTAGATGGGGGGACACACTGTAAAATGTTGAAAAAATCCCTTAAAATATGCCAATAAAACCAAATAATGCTAAAACTCGAAAATCTTATAAGCAGCTGCTATATCTTCTGTAAGACTTGGAGCAGGTGATGTTCAAAACATACAATGCAGATATGTGGGGTGAGACACTGGTGGCAACAACAGGGACATGTCAAACTCAAGGCCAAACTCTTATGTTGAGCACAGAACTCACAGGTACAGACCTAAATGTAAGTGGGAGCGAGGAGAGATTATCATATGTAGTCAGGATGATGTATGCGCGTACTTGAGCACCACGAGATGAATATCGACAGCGGGATTAACATTAATAACGGGCAGTCTCAGTGAGCCAGTATGTGGAGCTCTGGAGCGGCCATGAGTCCATCGTCTTTGTGGATTGGTGTTGGGGCCGCTGCTGAGATTAATGCTGATGTTGAGTGTTCCATAAGCCCTCAGAGGTGCTTTTATCGCCTTGGTAGCTTGTCGAGGACTCTGGTCCAAGGTCTGAAGTATGTATATGAGCCCCAGTGGAAACGTGCTGTGCTCAGATGGGTGGGAATCCGGGCGGATTGGTGAATCGAAGCATATCTCGTGGTGCTTCTTTGATGCACCGATACACACCAATGCGAACCGATGGCTGGACTGTTCACCGATTTTTTGGTGTCAATTCATGACGCCCATTGGCTCGGATCCGGGCACATCGGTTCGTATCGGTGCACGCATTCACGAGTACGTGAACTCAATTTAAATACCTAATTGATATAATAGAATACGACTCAATCCGGTTTATTCCATCCATAGCGAAAATTCCAAAGCAGCTTGATTTATATTAAAGGCTACGAAATATACATGCTGGCTATCTTTACAAATAATGAGCAGTGACATTAGCCGGATATGCCCGACCGCGAGCCCGTCGATGGAATGAATCATGATATGTGATGGCAGAGGTAGCGAGTACGTACGACATAGAGGACAAGCTTTGTGCAGTCGCTGAGCAAAGGCAAGGTAAACCAGATTGCGGGAATCGACTCACCTGAATGTTCAATCACTTCCTACTCGTGAACTCGACAATCAGAAGTAATTTCGAGTGATGCAAGTTAGAGAGGTTGACCGGAGTGGCGAATGTGGAAGAGTCATGTTGTGGCAACCAGGAGAATGTCGTAGTAGACGTACCCAAGTGCGTACGGGCGGTGTTCGGGGTGGTGAAGAGGAG